TTTACTTAAAGATGAAAAATGTTTAAAGTCTCAATTAGTAGAGATAACATGACATATTATATTTTTCATTCGTATTTTATATGGACTAGTTAATGGCATTTTTCACACATTACACAAAATCTAAAAAACAAATCGTAATGCTTATTATTTGCAAATAATACAGTTTACCACACACACACACACACACACATATCTTCTTGCCTAAGAAGTAAAAGGTTTTGATATTCGCTTCAAAAAGGTTTTGATATTGATGGTGCAACACTGGGACGTTAATTTTAGAGCACAATAAAATGCATTTTATTGTTTGAAAAAATAAAATTAAAAAATATTACGTCTTGTATAACAGTGTTTTGTGTATTCTATATGTATCACTGTGTGTCTGTGTTACAATCCAATCTGCCAATGTTTTCAAGAAAGAAATCCTGTCTGTCAAATGAATTGAAGTTAGCTAGCAATACCCCACAATACAATCGCACAAGGGAATTGGACTTTTCAATAAGTACACATGATGATTAAAATTTAAACACATAATACTTGGAAGAAAAGAGAGACAGGAGGCCCATGGAGCCATAGATAACAAAAAAAAAAAAAAAAACTTAAATGCCTCAAAAGTATCTATGAATGAGCACTTAGCAGCTAAACTTTCTTTGGCTCTTATATGCCTTGAAAAATTATTTTCGTGGTAAAAATATTCCAGTTATTATCTACTGTTAAGTTTGACTGATAAATCATGCAGTGTGATTGGTATTTTAAGCGATTAAACTTAACAGCGAATAACGGTTCAAAACAAAAATACTATAAAATAAAACTCCAAGACATATAATAGCCAGAAAACTTCTAAGTAATAGGTGCTCTTTCATGTATACTTTTAGATCCCGTTTGGTACGAATTATTAAAAATGAGGGATAGGGACTAGGATTACAATTAAAAAAATTATTAAAAAAATCTTTAGCATGAGTAATTACTTGTTACATAAGATTAGGTAAACCCATGAAAGTAGGATTAGAGAATACCACTTCCCTCATGGTATTCCTCAATTCCACATACATGACTTTCTCTAATCCCATATAACAAACAATCTCTTATACAAAATACTATTTTCTCAATTTTAGTCTCAATCCCTATCCCACATTTTTAATACTTCGTAACAAACAGTACCTTAGGCTATTTAAGCACCTTACCCAATAACAAATTATCACTAATATACAGCAGTAATACAATAATACCAAGTTCCGTTTTATTCTTGATTTGAAAGATCAAAGATCTATTAAGCAAGAGTAGACTGTTTACCGAATCAAGTGTGCTCTGTTTACCTTGATTTAAGATAAAATATCTCCAAATTAAACACGAGAAAGACACAACGAGCATAAATATGCATATCAAAAGTTTATTGCCCTCCATCACCCCAAAATATTAAAAAAAAAAAAAAAAAAAAAGAGTGAGAGAAAAAAGCTTATTGCCCTCACTTTTGGTTAACTTTTTGGATCTTATTATAACAATAAACTGATTAGCATTCTAATACAAGCTATTTGGGATTCTAAACCAACGAAGCTGGGATTCAGCACGAGGACAAAAACAATAACAAGGAGACCATGCGTCAAAACCTGATCTCTTCCTACTGTTTACAATTGATGCGCGCCTGCACTTTCGTTGTTCACAAACAACAATTACAAGCTCCTTCACGACTCCTGCAGAGATACACTAATTAAGCACTCCTTTGTGCTCGTTTCTTAGAATTGTTTTCCTGCGGATCTTAACCAAAGCGTTTCCCAAATCCTGAAAACAGAAATACAGACCTCAGACACCGGAATGGAGTTCACTTTGACATCCCATGAAAATCCAGACCAATATGCACCTTTGAACAAGTTCATAAAAGGTGTTACTGAGCATGAGCGATTATCCAATTAATGATGCTAAACTGAATTGAACATTTTTTGTCAGAAGTATTAGAATTATGTTAATTTTAGATGTAATTTAAAAAATCAAGAAGCCTATTTAGATCAAATTTCGATACTACTACGAGAATAAATTAGCAAGCTTCAATTTAGTTACCCTGGATTAATGAATCCAGTATACTTAGAACAGAACAATGTTACATAATAGCCCCCCCGGGGGGGGGGGACAAAAAGCCAAGAAACACGTACAGGTTCTTTGTCCAATGTCTCTGAGTTCCAAAGAGACTCCAAATTGTAATAAGCTCTGGCCTTTTCATCAAGAGCATGAACTATAACTCTACCTGAATCAATAAGGGAAAATCAAGGCATGTTTAGATCTAGCAAGTTATATAGGACCCACTAACGTATTTCAAATTGCTTCTGCGATAAAATTGAAGGACCAGTATAACAACTGATAATCCCAATTGTCAGATATCATTAAAATGAATATTTGCGAACTCACATGGAGGAAATAGGAATGTTTGGGGGAAGAAAAATCAACTTAGCTAGTAAGTGACCCTTTTTTAGGAGGGGAGGGGGTTCTCTAGCTCCAATTAAAAAAAAAAAAAAAATCCTTATCACGGACAGAGCATAATAAAAAAAATCGTCCTCAACTTCAGTTACACAATGTTATTGAATGATACGATGCCTATAACAGGTTATTATCCCTACTGTCACCCTGACAATTTGCTGCCTTAGTTTTAAACTTTGTGGTTGTCCCAAATTAATCAGCAAACCCATTACAGAAGTTTAAAAGAAAAAAAAAAGAGACAAAGCATCATCAGATACCAGAGTCAATTACGATCCACTTTCCTCCTCTTGACCTTCCACACTAGGTAGCACCATTCGTTCAGCTCCTCTCTCTGCTTCTGCTTAGACTGGTTACACATAAGCACAGAACATGAAAGGATGGTGAGCATTATTCTCTGAACGGATAAATACAGAACACAGAAAATAACCATACCCAATGGCCAATATCTCAATTCAACCGAGCATAATATTTTCTTGTCAGTTAATTTTTGTCCTCAACCTAGTTCACTCAAATTCTCAGACGTTTTTTTTTTTTTTTTTTTTTTGTGTGGCTATGGCAGGGATACGGTCATAGAAAGACTACACCTCAGGAGACATGTAAATCAGCAACCTTAATGGAACTAAATAAATTCGTATGCTCAATTATTTATGCAGTCTAATTACTCTGAACCAGAGTTTTGAAGTTGGACCTGATTCCTTCTATCTTTGTGCAACCGCAGTGGTTTCAACCAACTAGCCGTCCCTCTGTCCATTTCCGATAAATTTAATACACAAGCGACAAGCATGGCATTGCAAAAAACTGAACCAATGGACCTGCCTGGTAAATTAGAGCTTGAGCAATGTTCTTGACGTGCCAGGTCGACCTGCCAGTGGCAATCACCATATAATCTGCCCAATCACAGTGCTTGGGAACCGGCATGACCTTGACGTCGTCGGCTCTGACATCGCCCAGAACCTTCTCGATCTCCTGCAGATCCAAAAGGCCCTTATTAGGGCCATCACCGACGGACGAAGAGGAAGCATATTTGAAGTCTGAAAACGAAAACCCTGGCCTCCATGATGGTCGAGCCTCCGATAACGACGAAGAAAATGACGACGCCGTCGAAGAAGAGAGGAATGCACGAGCTCGTTGAACCGCCCACATAATCAAGTGCGCACCCGCTAAACCCAGCTTCCCTGGTGCTGCTTGAAGCCGGGGGGGAACTGGGGATATTCGACGACGTCGTTTATGGTTTGTCCCCTCCTTCCATATAAAATGTTAAATAAGTCATTTAAATTTAAATACATTTAAAAGTTTAAGCTAACTATAATAAAAATTATTAAATTATATTTAAATATAAAAAATTCAAAAACAATTTAGAAATATTTTTCTCTTTTTTAAATAAAAGGTTAGATGAATTAAATCTTAAACTTTACATTTCAAATTGTTTAATTAATGCTAGGAGAATTTGAACATTTTGCTCTTTCTAAGACATGGACCAATTCAACTGACGTCTCTTTGGTACTGTCTTAAATTTTCCAGGAAAAAAAGAAAAAGACAAATTAGACAACAGGATAAAAGGATTAAAGTGCTAATTAAATTACATCTTCAATCAAAACAGGCGTTAAATTACATCAGAAAAGTAAGCTATATCTACTAAATTTTTATACCACCTTCAATCCTAATTATAAGAGCTAGTTGACTAATTTGAGGAGATTAAGGAAATAAGTTGAGTTAATTATTTGTCCTAAATAGGTGTTATCTTTCCTAAAATATCATTGTTAATCAAGTGTATTGGCTAGAACTACCATTGTTAGAAGGACTACTTTGAAAAAAAAATGTATAAATACGAGAGACAAAGTGGATTGGGATATTATATTTAGGATCAAAATAAAAGTCAAACAAAATCTTATATTAAGGACCAGAGGTAGTAGTATACTACGGATTTTCCAAATATCATATATCAGAGTCTCAAAAATTATTTTTATTATTGTAAATTTAAATTAGATAAAAAATCATGTATTTTGGTCTCATTTAAAAATAAAGAAAACCTTTCTAAAAGTAAAAATACATTTTAATTTATTTTTAGTAATAATCTCAATACTTGTCTTTTGCGTTTTTTTTTTTGGTAATTTGGTTTGTGTATAACGTATATATATCATTTAACTCGTGTATATTTACATAGAATTACGTAAAAAAATATTGATTCATATCATCACTATCACTATAATATAAAATATTAAATTTACAACAGATTATACTTTTAATAAACAATGAATGATGCCATCTCAAATTCGTTTAAATATATGGAGGCTCCCAAACAAATATGAGTAAAATGTTAAATAATAAATATCAGGAAAATGGATATAACGATAGAGTGACACCCCCCCCTCTCGTTTAAATTAAACCCTGTTCATGTTGTTTTGCCCCAACTAAAAATCTCGCTTCCATGCATGCAAGCACGAGAAACGCGCACACGCATATAGAAGAACCAGGGAAAATTATAACGAAGGATGTGTAGAAAATTATACTACTTCCGGTCCTTAATATAAGACTCCGTTTGACTTTTTGTTTGGTCCTAATTCTAAGACTCCAATCCATTTTGTCTCTCATGTTTATACAGTTTTTTTCCAAGATAGTCTTTATAATAATGATAGTTCTAGCCAATATACTTAATTAGCAAGAATATTTTAGGAATGACAACACTTATTTATTACAAATAACTAACTTAACTTACTTCCTTAATCTTCTCAAATAATTCAACTGGGTCTTATAATTAGGACCGGAGGTAGTATTTATCAATTATTTAAAAAGATTAATACAAACTTTTATCTCATTTTGGTTTTAGTTTTTCAAGTTTCAAATTATAAGTTTTGGTCTCTCAAATTTTTTTTATTCAAAACATTACTTTTTATAACCTAATAAAAACTTGGACAATTTTACTATTTGAGGAACCAAAACATATGGTTTGAAATTTCTGAGACTAAAATCAAAACGAGAACAAACTTGATGGATTAAAAATTATATTTACACGATTTAAAAAGACCTAACATTAAGATATAAATCTTAAAATACTAAATTGCCCTCAAACACAGCCCTGCCGTGATTCACCCTCGTGGATGGTAATCTTCTGGATTTCTGGCTGCCATCACGGCGGACTCCGGCAGGCCCTTGATTAGGCCTTTTCTTGTTTGTTTGAACTCAATTTCTCAGGCAGAGGTCATGCAATGGGCATTTGGTAATTGTAAATTTATATTTTAGATTTTTGTCCTTATAAATAAATAATTACAATTTTTATGGTCTTTTTCAATAAATATCATTTTTCCTAAATGCTTTCCTTTAATTTTCCCTAAGAGCTATATAGATATCATATCTATATTTATATTTTCCTTTATACATAAATACGTAATTCTAAAATATATATTCTATTTATGCACTTGTTACAAACTATTCTTTTTCATGCTTACATTATTAAGAATGCACTCCTTCGTATCTTTACTACAAGACGCCTTGTAAAAGAGATCGATTGTAATAAAATATAAGGTGCTTGAGATATTAATTAAGTTTTTCTTATATTTAAAGTCATTAACAATAAAATATACCCCCTGGTCTTAAATATAAAACCTATTTTATAGTGTTTTTACACTTCAAAATAGATCTTATATTTAGAATTGTTAGTGACTTGAAATATAAGTAATAATAGAAGAAAAACTTAATTAATATCTCAAGTAATTACACTCCAAAATAGGTCTCGTATTTAGAACCGGAGGGAGTAATATGTACAATTTTGAAAAAAAAATTTCACTTAAATATGGATATTGTTAGGAGTTTATTTCATTTTCAGATAAAGCCAGTTTGAAATGCCTTACAAATAGTTTTTCAATCGTAATTTATAAAACCAAAAATAAATATATAATAAAAGATTTAACTTGACTTACGTAAAATGTATTTATAATCTTAATTCCAAAGGAGCTAAAAGTTAACCACACAATCATCCATCTTTAATTCTGGTGAGATAGTTAAAAGGGTCTTATAAATTGGAGAAAGTGACAAATTATTCTCTCATATCATATCATTGAGACTTGATTTTTTTTTTTTTTTGCCCTTAAGAGCTTAACAAACTTAAATGAAGAATGATGAATACACAATCATCCTTCCTTAATTCTGGTGAGATAGTTAAAAGGGTCTTATAAGTTGGAGGAAGTGACAAATTATTCTCTCATATCATATCATTGAGACTTGAATTTTTTTTTTTTTTATCGTTAAGAGCTTAACTAACTTTTATCCATTTATTGAAGAACGATGAAAAGAAATATATTATCATGATCATTAATATAAGAGTTAGTTAACTAATTTGAGTAAATTAAAAAAATTTGTTAAGTTAGTTATTCATAAAAAATTAATTGTTATCTTTCTCAAAATATCATTGCTAATCATATATATTAGTTAGAATAACTATTTGATATAACATTTAATAACTATTATAGGACTATTTTGAAAATAAATAAATAAATATGATATATAAAATGGATTGATATTTTATAGTTAGGATTAAATTAAATATCAAATTAGACTAATTGCTAATTAAATTTAAATTGATCATGTGAGAGAGATTTGCGGTCAGAGAGCGAGAGATGAGATTAAGAGACGAGGTTTTTCTTTTTTCCCCCCTCAATTATTTGGTTTGCCAAGTGAAAAGACAGAAGAGATATTAAATTAAAAGCGGAAGATATGCAAATCCATCCCATTTCTATTTCCCTATTCAAACTCAAAACACTTAAACATTTGGGGGAATACGGCCCCAAAGCATCTTTCTTACTTAATTATTAATTTAATAATTTGAAGAATCCAAACTATCAGCCGCATCATTCTATTATATACTCAGATGTTTTTTTTTTTTGGGAGGTACAATTGTTAATTATTGTAGACCTACTATAACTTTTATTTATTTGTCCACTTGAAATTTAAAAAAAAAAAAAGGGGCATGACCGTTGGTTCTATTGCTTTAAAAAAGTTCTATTTAACCACCTTTAATTAATTTTAAAATCCATAGAATCCAACATAAACATAATGCCATGCCATCACATAAGAACTAATTATAAAAAAAAAACTACAAGGAAAAAATAAATTAAAAATAATGATGCAACTAAGTTCATTAATTAAATGAGGTTAGAACCAAATAAATGAGCTGTGTGGGGATATATAAATAAATGATCAAAATGAAATGATTAGCGTGAGGGCTTTTGAAGTATCCTTTTGTCTCACCCTCCAATTAAAGTGACATAATAATAATAATAATAACAATAATAATAATTAATCTATGGATTAACTAATAGTGCAACCCAAACACACACAGCTAGCAATTAGCTAATCATAGCGTAGTTGTTATGTTGACCTTATCTTTCTATGTCCCACATAACCCCTTTCTTTTTCTTTCCTTTATTCTCAAGTTTCTTTCTCATTTTCTCGGCTTTATTGTTTGGCATTTATATTTTTTTTAAAACAATATTTGGCACCTATATATATATATATATATATTATATAATATAAAACTTGTTCACTATTACAACTCGTTTTTTTTTGTTTCTAGAAAAAGACTTTTTGAGGCTCCAAATATGACTAATTAGGACGCATTACTTGTTTAACATGTTAAGCTCACCAAAACGATGCCTTTGAATGTGATTGTTCAATGCACTTTGTTTTAGACAGTCTGGCTAATCTTCCTCACTTTGTGCATTTCGTTATATTATTCCCAGTAACAGAGATATTTTTATCCTAAAATATTTTTATTATTCCAATGAAAATTATACAGTTCACAAAATTGTGTCCCTTTTTTGTGTAACGTCATGAATTTTGATAGTAATCAGCATTACATAGTCTGAAAACTTTTGAGTTTTATTTCATTTATTTTGTCAATTCATATAATTAGAAATAAATAATTTTGAATAAAAGCCTAAAAAACCAAAAGCAGCACAAAAGAGACAATTCATCATTCATTATTTTGAATTTTGAAATTTAATAAAAATTGAATGCATGTATTATAATAAGGGAAAAATTTAGTAACTTAGAATATTATTTTGGTGTGATCAAGTCACCAGGATGAAGTTTGGGACCCCTGCTATAATGCATTAAAAAAATCATGTTTGTGCTGCAATTTTAAATAAAATCACTTATGTACAACATTTGAGAAATTCATGAAAAGATTTATACTTTATACTAATGCATTGTGAAAATATTGGCAATAAATAGATATTTAATTAGCATTTAATGGTGACTTTAATTACTTATCCTTGACACTCAACTAATCTTGAAGAATTAAATCAAACATAATAATAAGGAGGATCTATATTGAATTATATATATATATTCATATATTTGTATGGACAGAAATTTAGTATGGTATTTTTGTACGTAAAAGTAATAATTGGTGGCTATCAATTTCCAAGCCATTGCTTGTACAACGACCAACCTTTGCTTTAAAAGTTGGAACACAATTGGGCATTAAATGATCCCACACATGTTTTGAACCATACCAATTATAAAGTGATGTCCAAAAAAATTACCAATTATAATTGTAAAGTGAAACCATATAGTATTATGGTTTTACTTTTGAATTTTGAATGTTTCAGCAAATAAATGATTATAGATCCATTAAAAAAAAGGACAAGTATATGATTAGAAGGGACATGTTAGTTAGTGATAAACAAAAAAAATAAATGACATGCTGGATATAAATTTAACAAATAATAAACTAATTAAAAACTTTTCAATAAGAAGAGAATTTTTTAGTAATGTATTTTTTCCGCCTGAAAATGTTGTATCTAATCAAACAGGTAAAAAAGAAGCTAACCTTTCCAAATATATGAAATAACGTATTCCACAATGAAAAATGAAAGTTTGCCAGAAGAAAAAAAATTGATATGCTTTATTATTTCTTACATTAAAATTAAGGGGAAATTGCAAAAAAAGACCTTGGAATTGTAAAAACGCAGATAGGGACCCTTGACAACTTCACTTTGGGTTTTGACAAGAATAATATGCCCTGAAGTTGTCAAAACCCAAAGTGAAGTTGTCAAGGGTCCCTATCTGTGTTTTTGCAATTCCAAGGTCTTTTTTTGCAATTTTCCCTAAAATTAATCTATAAGCTTTATGTTTTAGATAACCTAATATAAAAATAAATGAATAATACGGGATAAGCAGAAATTAAAAAATTATTATTATTTTAAAAGAATGCTTCTTGTTGCGGAAAGGAGCATATCAGACGACAGCAACAAGAGGTTTTGGATATTCTTAATTTTCACTTCTGAATTGTTTTTTAGCAAAAAGAATTATAGAAGAGAGAATGCGAGAAAATTTTGGGTTTGTTGCAACCGTCCGATTCCTGTAAAGCTTCGATCTGTACTTTGGTCGCCACTTTCAGGTCATGAATGCTATAGATCCGACTGTCTGAAACAGAATTCGTCGCATTGTAATTGGCATTTGAGCTCTGTTTTATCTTCGAACTTGGGATCCTAAGCGCACTCTTCGAGCTTCCATTCCGTGTTTGAAGCAATTTGAATTGGGAAATTGGTAAGTCATGTCCTGTCTGCTGCTTTGCAGTGGTGGGTTTCACTTTGTACTTCGAACTTCAATGCTTACTTAATGGGCAGTGAAGTTGAATTTTTGTTTGACTTAGACCCTCTTTTCAGTGAGAATAGTGCAAATTGTGATCTGCAAATGGCAAATGTTCTAGGGTTTCCGACTCTTAGACATTTGCAGAATGAATTTATCAATTTGGTTTCGGATATTTGTTACATTTGGCTTTTAAGACTTTGTTTTATGAATGGTACAGTTGCTCCTGCCGTTTTGCATGTTTACTTGCATTCTTGCGATATATGCGCTCCAGTTGACTCGATCACACTGAGTGTCAGGTCAATGCGTGTTTGGATTGAGTTAAACTGAAGGTCGAGAGGACAGCAACTGGCGTACAAGTTTGAGTGCGGTTGCTGCCAAAACTGATTGTTGGGGCTTGAATTTCTAATCAGCTCGAGCTATATGTCAATTCTGGGTTGCACTATAGACTTCTGTAGGTCATCGATTTTGGGCTTTATGGAGAGCTCCAGGTGACATTTCTCTAGTACAATCTTGGGTAGCGGAAATGCCTCCTTCCCCAGCATTGAGATTCTCTCCTGGAAGAGAGCCAAAAACAGTCAGCCACAAGCGTGGGCGCAGTCTTGAAGGTGGATTACTCTACAGGGAGAAAGATGATGATCTTGCTTTGTTCAATGAAATGCAGTCCAGAGAATCAGAGAATTTTTTGCTTCAGTCATCAGATACCGTTGAAGACCCATTCTGTAATCTTCTTAAGGGCACCCTAAAACAAAACTTATATGTGGTTTTGGTACATTTTTCTTGAGTAATAATCATGCATTTCTCCTTTTTGCCTTAACCTCTAATTTACAGCTGTGAAGTTGAGACATTTTTCTGATATTAAGCTTGGAATCTCCGTTCCTGGTCGAGGAGAAAGCAGCGGACTGCTTAATGCAGACGGTGACAAGAATGACTATGACTGGTGTGTTGTGCTTTTCTCCCTTTTTTGATTCTTTTTTTTGGGGGGGGGGGGTTGTTAAATGATGTTCGATGATACAGTCCTTTACATGATTCAAAGCCAAGCATTTGGGTTCGTCATTATTCCACTTCAACACCTGTATTTTTTGTAGGTCCATAGTTCAACTATTAAAGCGAGGCTTGAGACTTTGATGTGCATAAAGTGATTTCTGGTGTGCAATGCTTAGTTTTCTAATACTTTGTTTATTGTTTTTCAAGGTTACTGACGCCCCCAGACACACCACTTTTTCCTTCATTAGATGAGGATGAGCCACCACCAATCAATGTTCCGAGCCGGGGAAGGCCTCAGAGTAAACCCACTTCCATATCGAGATCTTCTACGGTGAGCTTTTGAATCTTATTACATTATGCATAATTGTATACTCTTTTCATTTCAAGTAAATGCTCTTGAAGCATAGAAGGTGATGTAAAATAGGGAGGGGGGGGGGGAGAGAGAAGAGAAAGGAGGTAGAAATTGAGAGAAATTGAGGGATAAAGAAGAACTTGAAGGAGAGAGTGAGCACAATTTTCATCTTTATTCAATTCATCAAAAGAGGCCTGACAACTAAGAAACCTTAGAGTTATTCGTAAAGCTCTAGGTATGATTACTTAAAATAATAAAATCTAAAGCTAAAATAATCCTTAAAAGATGATAGTGATAAAATAAGGTAATTCCTATTAAATCCTGATTAATCCTTATTCAAGGTAAATCTGAAATATATCTTGATAAAATACCCCAATCTTTATAAAACATTGAGTCCTAGTTATTGCATAGCAATAATAAGACAATCTTATGTGTCACTAATTAAGTATTCAGTCAGGAAAAATCTTATCTCATATCGGATGTTTACCCCGTTCAGATGGAAAGAAGTCGCAGAAGTAGCAGGGGGAGTGCAAGTCCAAATCGCCTTAGTCCATCTCCTCGTACTGGAAATAGCACATCCCAGTCACGGACTGGGCCATCATCAGTGTCCAATTCCAGCCCAACTCAAAACTTGCGGCATGCTACTCCGTCAAGAAGACCATCTACTCCTCCAAATAAGCCTTCAACACCTGCACCGAGGTCCTCTACTCCTACTCCTAGGAGAATGAGCACTGGCTCCAATGGGCCTGTATCAGGGATCAGGGGAACTTCCCCAGTCAAGACAAGTCGTGGAAACTCTGCTTCACCAAAGATAAGGGCATGGCAAACTAATATCCCTGGTTTCTCCTCTGAAGCTCCCCCAAATCTTCGAACTCTCTGGCTGACAGACCAGCATCATATGTGAGGGGTTCATCACCTGCATCCAGGAATGGAAAGGATCCTACCACTAGATACAGTAGGCAGTCAATGTCTCCAACTGCTTCTAGAAGCAGTAGCTCATTTCATAGTCATGACAGAGACCGATTTAGCTCACGCAGCAAAGGTTCTATTGCATCATCTGGTGATGATGATACTGACTCTATACAGTCCATCCAAGTGGGTAGTTTAGACCGGCTAAGTTCAAGAAGGAGTAGCTCAGTTATAAATAACAGAACTCCTGCCATTTCCAAGAAGACTGCCAAAACGGTGTCTCCAAATTCTGCTCCAAAAAGATCATTTGACCCTGCCCTTCGCCAAATGGTATTCTAATATTTGATTTAATTAAAATAATATACTTTCAGCTCTTTATGGAATACTGCCAAATTTGTTTGACAATCGATTTTGAAAGTGTTCAATTCTTAATTTGTCATACCATTACAAGATCAATTAGTTTGGACAGTCATCCTTGTTCCTAGGTCTCTTACCCACTTATACATGCATTCACACATGTGAGCACACACGCACACTGCAGTTTCTCTTCATGAATCCTTTGCCACAAAAATGCTGTCTATTTCTACTGAAGCAATTAATGATAAAGTGTACTCATTCAATTTGTGATTCTCTCTGCACGCCAATAAAGGAACTTCGCAAAAGTTTGTTTTATTTATAAAATAATTTCAGACACAATCCCGAATTTATCTAAGATTTTCCATTTCAATGATGATATTGGATGCCTGCTTGTACATTGTATATGATAAGTCAACTATTCTTAGTAATTGATTTCAAATTAATTAACGATGAAGGTTGGATTTATTGTTGCACTGAAGTGAGATGCCTAAAGTGAATTTATTTCAAATTAATAAAGTGAGATGCCTGATCAAGCATGAGTTATTAGCGTGTTCTCTTGGTTGGCATATTTGATACTTATAGTGCCAGAGGTGCTTATAAAATGTTTGGTAAGAGATTAATTAGAAAATATTTGGTGTTAATCTATTGGATTCAGATCTAGACATTTGCAATATCTCCCGGTCTCCCTTTATCATGATTTATTTTATTAAATGTATGTTAATTTTTTATAGTAATCAAAGTTCTAACTCATCGCAGACGCCATTCAATGTTGTGCAGGATCGAAAAAGTCCTCAGAACATGTTCAGGCCACTTTTGTCAAGTGTGCCAAGTACTACCTTTTATGTTGGAAAAGCAAATTCTGCTCGCAATAATTCTCTGGTATCCAGGAATTCCTCAATCACAACAAGCAGCAACGCCAGCTCTGATCAAGGTACAAGTATTGCACTTGATACTGAAGGGAGTGATCACAACCAGGATGATGTGGCTAGTGAAGCTGAGAAAATACCATATCCTGATATACATGAAGAAGTCTTTGCCTTTGATAAGGATGATGTGATGAATGCTGATACTGGGCATGAGATCGCCAATGAATCAGTTGATGCACATCTTAATGAAAGTAAAGGCTCTAAGATTGATTGCGGTCCCACTATAGCTGAAGAGTCCTTATACCATGGTATTGCTGCTGCCACCATTGAAAGTTCAGAAACTACCAATGCCAAAACTGATATTATGGAAACTGATGGTTTTGAAAATACAGCAATCTGTTCTCAATGTGGTTGTCGATATGAGGCCTCTGATCAAACAGAGAAGGATGTTAGACTTTGTCCAGAATGCAGTGGGAAGTATACAATGCTGAGAGTCATCCCCCAGGAGACAGTTTTGGCTGTCGCCGAAGACTCTTCAATGTTTTCTACTAATGGGTCCACTGAAGAAAAACCAGGAGCTGAAACTGACCAATTAATGGTTTCATGTGAATTGCCTCAAGATACCAATGTGGATGGTGAGAGAGGTGCTGAACGAAGCCAAACGTCATACAGTGAGGTAATCCAGGATCAGTCACAACAAATTCCTCCTCCAAGCTCAGCAGCAGAGGGAAGTGGCGAGATGCCCGCCAACCAGTTAGACATGGACCAATCAGGAGCTGATGGCAGAAATCCTTATAGTAATGTTGGGGACCAGCAGTTGTATCACCACAATGATCGCCGAAATTCAAAAATGGACCTCTTGGGAGGAGCTGGCATATCTGTATTGCTGAAGAGGTCAAGCAGCAGCAAAGGACCGGTAGTTCAAGGCAGGACTTTTACTGCCACGACCATATCTTATGATGATATATCTCTTGCAAGAGGGAGTGTAAACAGCTTCAGAAGTTCTACTGGGCATGGAAGTTATTCTGCCTCATCATCAGTTGATTTCAGCCCAGCCAAAAAAATGGACTCCGGCATGCAGCGACAGTTAAGTAGCAGGAAGTTGGATGTAGATGGTGGGCATGATATAAGGATCAAGCATGAAAGAAGTGGGTCATCTTTTTCTGGACCTCAAGCCATTCTCATCGTGGAGTAGGTCTTGCAACACAAGAGACAGAATATGACACTACAGAGGAGATGCCTGTAATTTCAGAGGTGAAAGTTGCAGAATATTTAGTGACTGATGTAATTGATGCTTCTCCTACGGGTTCAACTGTCGAGGAAAATAATGTCGGGTATCATGATGGTGCTGCTGGTGCTTGTAATTCAGAATTATTGGGCCAGGCTGTTGGTGTTCAGCCTGATAGTAGTTCATTAGCATCATTTAGAAATCATGGGGATTGCTCTGATGAAAATGTTGAGGATCATTCAAATGATGGTAGGATTCTCTCAATTGTAGAAGCAGCCGTTATGGTTCCAGTTCTATCCATTGATGAGGAATCTGATGTGCAATGTGCTAATCTTGATGGATCAGATGCGTTGCCTGCTACCAACATTTTGACATCTACAGAATCTGAAGCCGAAAGGGAAATTTCTTGTCAGAATAATCCTGGTGTTGGAGAGGATGATCCATCCCAGATATCAAAATGTACCGTGGATGATTGTCAGGAATCTTCTATTCCAAATCCTTCCGATGCTCCTTTTCCTGAATCCAATGCATCTGAGTGCTCCCATGGTATAGGTATGACATTTTCTTTATTAAAATCCCATATGGAAGATGATTTTGATTAATTGAGATGAAAATTTTATATGCATGTATCTCCCTCTTCTCTCCGACTTGGCCTCACCTTCGCAATCACTAGTGACCACACTCCATACAATTTTTGTACTCTTGATATAGAACAATTTGATGTATTTAAATGACGTGGTGACAATTCTAGTCCATTTTCATTACCTTGTATAGTGAGATTCTAAACTCCTGTGGATCAGGATTGTCGGAGGAAGACTCTAAAACTATTGAAAAGACTGTCTCTTGACTTACTCTCTGCGATTCTTAATTTGGTTAAATAAGTGGTAATAAAAGGCTCGCCATGACTACTATATAATTTTTTGTATCCTTGAAATAATCCTTATTGCTTCTGAAAGTTAGTGAGGATGTGTCTCGCCTTCAGTATTAATTTGCAGGCTGTTTATTCTTTAGTTAGGTCCAACTTTTGAAATGCTGATAATACCCTCTCTTGAATTCATAATGCTGTTTTCTTTTTTTACAAGTTTTCATATTCATGGTTGAAAATTTCTGAGTCTGTAATGCTTTGTAAAAGTCTTGCTCGTTTGTTGCTTTCCATTGGTCTGATCCTCTATGGAATTGCGAGAGAATTCACTGTTTGCTCGTCATTTCTAGTTCATGTCCTCTATGGCATCTTACCGTGCATAAAATACATTACGTCATGCATGCAGACATGTATGATTTTTTGTTTCTACATTGAATTTTTCTAGTTAAGGAGAAATAGTGTCACTTCACCGTTTTCTTATGAAAGCTGATACTGCTCTTTTAACTGCACTGTACTTCACTATTTGTAAATTCTCTGATAGATTTCCACTGCTTCATGACAGAGGAATCAACAGTTACCGTGGAGTGTCCTGGTGGAGGCAACCCTAGAAGCCTGACCCTGGAAGAGGCAACTGATGCAATACTATTTTGCAGTTCCATTGTCCATGACCTTGCATATCAGGCTGCAACTATAGCAATGGAAAAGGAAAGCTCAGAACCATTGGAAGGTTCTAAACCAATGGTGACTATACCAGATGCACCCAAAGCCGGTGGTAGAAAGGGTTTGCGAAACCGAGCTGTCGGCAAGCACACATTGAAATCCCAGAAAGCAAGGGAGAGGAAAGTGGAAACTGATGTCAAATCCCCCTGTGGCGAGACTGAGAAAGATGAAGTTGTCGATGAGTCTTTCAAACACAATGCGGGGCTTCCTAACAAGGTGGACAGCATGAAGCCTCCGAAGATTGAATCGAAGTGTAATTGCACCATAATGTGAGAGTTCATTGTTTCGTGCTTAAAATTCCCAGCCAGCATTTCAGCTCTTTCCTTTGGCTGCTTTGTATAGATCTTAGCCTCGTGCTTGTTTGAAGGCCGTTTGTGATAATAGCCATGCTCATGTTGGTCCAATGTATTTTGTAAGAAATGTCACATTGTGTTTGACATAATTGTAAAGTTACATATTTTTCCCCCTTCCTTTTTTGTTCGTAGGCCATAGTTAGGGTTTAGGGGCACTTGGAGAATTCTGCTCCCTCTAATTGCTGCATTCTTGTTATTTGATTTCCATGTCACTGAAGGTGATCCATCAGTGGAAGTGTGAAGTAGAACTCACCCATTGATATTCGTTAAGATCGTGAAAGGCATAATGACTTCATTACAAATAGTTTATCTATTGTGTCTATTATTTGTGCCCTATGTTAATCTCTATTACCTCAACCCCCATGCATTTGTTTCCAAGGCTCTGTTGTTTTGTAATACTGTGAGAAAATTTTCTCTCTCACAGAACGAAAGGGTCAAGAAATCCGCAGCAACAAGTAGGAAAGAAAATGTAAATATGAGCCTTTTTGCCCGCAAGGTATTACGCATGCTGTGATTGATATGGCAATAGGCGCAATACCAAGCATGAGGTTCAATTAATTAACATTTAAATGCTGGTCAAAAAAATTAATTAACATTTAAATATATGCCTTTTTTCCTAAAAGAAAACGTAAATATACGCTTTGGTCTTTCGTAATTATTTAATCTTTGATTTGTTTTTCTCATAAATTAATATAAAATATATGATATAGAAAAATATCTTTAGTTAACTTCTCATAATTTGTAACTCAACTGTATGTTATAAATCAAGTCATTTTACTTAAAATGATAAACCTGATGTTCATATGTAGTGAGTTATTAGCTTTCGACTTTCGAGTGAGATTAACGGGAAGAATTTAAAGATTAAAAATAGGATTATAATTTTATAAATATATATTTCTAATCTGTTTATGTGATATATTAAATAATTTTAGCCCTTAATTCTTAAGGATTTGCGGTCGCGTCTAATTTAACAATGTTCGTGTTGATGAGTAATTTATAAGCGTCGGTGAAGCTAGCTGTTGACAACTCATCTTAATTTTTAATTTATTATTAACTTCTGCTTAGTTCACTTATTTGGAGAAATTAAAAAAATTAGTTACGGTAGTTATTTGTAATAAACATATGTTGTCTTTCCTAGACTATTTTTACTAATCATGTGTACTAGATAAAACTACTATTTAATAAAATATTTAATATGTGCAATTATTATAAGGACTACTTTGAAACAATAAATAAATATGAAAAAAATAAATTGAGGATATGATCAAATTAAAAGTTAAACTAGTTCTTATACTACCTCTGGTCCTTGATATAATAGCTAGTTGACTAATTTGAATAGATTAAGAAAACTAGTTAAGTTAGTTATTTGTAATAAATAGATATTATTTTTTCTAAAATATTCTTACTAATCAAGTATATTGATTAGAAATATTATTATTACAAAGACTATTTTAAAAATAAATAAATAAATATGATAGATAAAATAAATTGGATCTTATATTTAAAATTAAAATAAAAATCAAATATAGCTGACAGTAATATTAAGAGCCGGTGGTAGTACCTGTTAAAGAAAGATTCTTGCCCCAAAACAAAGTTAGTACTTTAAATAGCCTCACCGACATTTCCACTTTAGTTTTGGATTGAGCTAAAATAGTATGAAATGGAGGAGCCAAAAATCTAAAAAAGAAGAAAAATATAAAATTAGCGTAGTCTAGACGCCTCATTTGAACAAGGGAAGCATCTTCAGCTCAGGAAGCTATGACTGTTAGTTGCCTGTGAGACGTTGGCGAAAATGACGAGACGGTATCAACAAACCTCTAATAAACTCATTAGAGCTTCGTGCTCTCCTCTCTCTCTCTATAATTCTCATCTTGTCAACTTCGCTGCCTGAAACGCCGCTTCATATAAATCTCTAAGCGTTCCCAAGTTTTCGCCGCAGAAAATCAAATCTGAAATTGGCCAAATTGGAGAAGATTAAAGCGCAGGAGAGCCATGGATGATGATGCAGCATTCACTCTTGCTTCATCTCCGTCCTCATCGTCAATCTTTGTGAATTACCCTCTCATATCGGCCTTCGTCGCTTTCGTCGTCGCTCAGTCAATTAAGTTCTTCTCCGTTTGGTTGGTTTTCCTGTTTGATTGCCTTTATTACGAAGGAAACCGTGTTCTTATGCTGTATTTAGATCAAAACAAGCTCAGTAAACTCCAAAATAAAGTGTATATAGCTTGATTATCTTGTTACTAATGAGACGAGTAACAGCTGTTACATATGGATTAGAAATATAATTGATGCAATTCTTCAGGTTCCTAAAATTTCTTTGTGAAGAGAAAGTTGGTTACGGGAATATTAAACTTCTGAATTTTAAAAACTAATGACGTGTACCTGTACTCAATGATTTTTAATCTGTTCTTAGTGACTTCTCTTTTGACTGTTGATTGACCTTATTGTTTTGAGTTGTAACTTGGTAATTGTCTCTAATGAATTATAAATTCTCGGTTCTAACTTAGACACGTGAAGAACCAGTTTCTTTGATCTTAATCGTCACCTTGTGGTTCATCCCTAAGAGTTTTAATGTTTGATAGATTTACAGGTTTAAGGAGAGAAGATGTGATTTCAGGCAACTTATCGATTCTGGTGGAATGCCATCTTCTCATGCGGCGACTGTAACTGCTCTTGCTGCAGCTGTTGGATTGCGGGAAGGCGTGGGAGGATCTCTATTTGCCATTGCGTTAGTCTTGGCCTGTATTGTACGAATTTCCCTTAAATTTTTCACATTAATCTATGTTGAGGGATCACAAAGAAGACTTCAGTTTTTTATTCACTTCAGTGACAAGAAACTGAAGCTCTAAGCATGTTCCATATATTGGGATGTATTGAAGATTTTGAGATTGATGGCAGGTGATGTATGATGCCTCTGGCGTGAGATTACAAGCAGGACACCAAGCCGAGGTTTGATTTTCATTTCTCTTCCTCTCAGTCTTACAGAGCAGGGGTTCATATTTTTGCTTTTCTGTTTTTTTTGGTTTATACTTATTCTGAATGACTCGATGGTCCTCAGGTTTTGAACCAAATTATATATGAACTTCCTGCCGAGCATCCTTTGGCGGAAAGAATACCACTTCGCGAACTTCTTGGTCATACTCCCTTTCAGGTTCCCCATTCTGCATTCAACTGGTTCATATAATCATTTGATAGGTCTAGTCATCTTATTGCAGAACATATAGAGATAATTTGATATTACTCTGTCAACTAACCAAGACTGTTTTTTCAATGTTTGATATTTGTCTACAAGTATAGTCATCGATGACCATATTATCCCCTCAACTAATAATTGCTATATTGGTCATAAAATAGTGACTGCAAAATGCTACTGCTGAGGTTTTAGCTCGTTTAAATGCATTATTTCAGAGCGTTCATAGTGTAGTGCGTATATTATCAAACCGGAATTCTTAAGTGCCAAAATGACAAGATGTGTAACATAGTCAACTTTTCCCCCCAGTGTTGATTCTAGGCGGAACTAACGTTATGTAAGGTTGAAAGTATTTTTATTCCAAAATGACTTTCAAAGATGAAAGGTGTATCAATCCCCCTTTGGTAAAAAGGCGGGGAAGGTACTTTCCTCTCTAAAAGAATTGATGCGTACAATATGTATTGTACATTTTTTGTTACTTTATATTAATTGTTCTTTTCTATTAATTTTCAACACAAACTATGAACAAAGCCTATCACCCTTCGCTGCTTGTCCACGGCCAGACGTGCATATAACAAGTTGCGTTCGCAGCCTCTCGGCTCTGCGCTTCTGGTGATGTCCATATAGAGACACAAATTTCTTCTTCATTCCTACTTATCACATTCTCATTCTTTCAGTGTTTCTATACGTCAACCAAAGTTAAATCATGATCCATAAACCTCAATTAACTCAATGAATCATTCTAACCCTCAAGTCACGTCACAAAAGGTAGTTTAACACAGTATTAATTCCCTAGTGATCGAGGCTTAAAGAAGTCAGGATGTTACAAGATCTATCTTTTGACTGTTATTTTATCACAGCGGTTTTCTTTTTTGACATTCCAGTTCATTCTATACTACAGGTCCTTGTGGGTGGGATACTTGGAGGCGTCATAGCAGCTATTGGATATCTAATAATCATAACTTGGTAGTCAAACTTGAGAATGCCGGCGTCCATAATCGTGCAGTTTTTGTTCATCTCACATCCAGCAGTGCAGTGCCTCATGTCTTGCTTTTCTTCAGGGTCAAGTCTATATTTTCTTGCACTCGACCTAGTCTTGCAGTTACAGGAGTTTATTACAGTCTTCAGTGAAAGGGAAGCTTCTGCCTTTCGGAATGATTTAGTTAACAAGATGCTGGCCCGAGCACGTTATGTTTCCATCATATTACAATTTATAATCTTTTCCTATTAAATACATGAAATCAAGTCACTTTTCCTTTCAGCTGCCCCACTTATATGTAACAATTTAAATATATAGGCTGCCTCCATATTTAACCTTATAATGTTCCGATTAGTGAGATTGAATAAAATACACAGACACAAACATTCACTAGCATTTTACTCATCTCATATCCCGGTGATTTAGGTGGGCAGCTTTCATCTCCTCCCCACTTCCCTACAACCAAACAAGGGGTTTTTTTTTTTTTTGGGGGGGGGGGTGTTGTGTGGAAAAGGAGGTATTCATGGTAAATGTGACGCATCAAGAACAGAAATGATACTAGGAATTTAGGATAAGCAAATCAGAAAGTTGGAAAATAACACCAAAAGAAAAAAAATCCACTCGTATTAATCAATGTTCAATGTGCTTATTACGTCAGATACACCGTGCATCGATAGAATCGGTCAAAGAAAATCACCTATGAATTCATTATTTTTTTAAATAATCCCCAATACTAGAGAAAAGACTTTCTGCATTTCCACTTTGGGGTCCCCAGCAAGTCCTGAGCTTGTACGCCAGGCAATGTGTTCGTCAGGTCTAACTAAAATAGCTCCACTTTCCTTCATTTGACACATCTCCCACCAATTTGAAGTTGATGGCCTATCAACTTCGACAGCATCTACATAATTCTCCCAAGGTGATAATGCCGCCTTACTCCCTTCATTGAGTCCCTCAACAGAACCACTAGGCCAGATAACACAGACTTTGACCAAAATTTGGCGTTCTTCCGCCGCCTTAAATGCCGCACGAGCGAGATGGTAAGATTCTTTCACAGGAGCTATGATGAGAAGGAACTCAACTTCGTCTCCTGACACAAGATCTAGTGTTGAAACAATCTACAAAATAAACCTTACATTAAGACAAGTGGAATAAGGAAGTCAATCTGCCGCAACTGCGAGGCGATGAAAAGTTGAAAACCCAGTAAGGTAGTTAAGCCCAACAAATTATAGCCTGAAGTATCAAAATAGTTGTTCCAATTTGCAATTGCCAAACCAGTACAAAAGGGTAACACGATCCACTTAAAGGAAGACAGGAAGCTCATTAATGATTCAACATACGTATAAATCATAAAGTACTGCCTCCAGTTCTAAATATAAGATCTAGTTTATAGATTACAAACAGATCTTATATTTAGGATTAGAGGAAGTATATTAAATATTGATACAAACCTCATTCATTTTATTCACCCTCACATACATGTGGGGCAGTCTTGATCCTGGGTGTGCTGAAGGAATGTAATCCCTCCGGCGACCTGTAGACAATTGTGGAGTCGACTCTAAATTATCACTCTCTTGCACAATTGCTCCTTGTAGGTATCTATATCCAGATATGAAAGTTAGACGGGAGTCCTGAAGTGCTTACATATGTTAAGCACAGGTCCAATTTAATAAACTTAAGCACAAAAAAATTTAAAACTGAAGCAGGTGCATCTATGCAATTAAAAAAGAGGAAAAGCAATTAATGATAATATGCCTGAAACCAAGATCTTCAGCGGGGAACTGGAGTTGAAGACTTTTTCCTTCTTCAAAGATATGCCTTAACTTAGACAGCCTTGAGGATCCGACTGGGTTAATTTCATTTAGGATAGTTTTTGATAGCTGTGCTCGACCAATTGCAAAAATTCCTTCCAAAGCTCCCTTCCGTAATCCATGTGGTAAAAAACCCAGCCCAGTATTAATTAATCTATGTACTGCAAATAGAAGAAAATAAATAAAAATAATAGTGAGGAAGGAGCTAACAATGGCTTGTACAAATTAATTGATGGTGAAGAAAGCATTATACTACTTTTGGGTACCTGAGTTTGCAACAGTGGGGTCAAGACCAAGTGCTGAAGGAACTGCCATGGCAGCCTTGTAATTTTTAAGGCTCAAATCCGTATTGAATATAGCAATCTGACAATAACAAACAGTGATAATGGCCTAGGGTCCGTCTAAATTCAAAAAAATATACGTGAATGGTAAAGGGAAAAGAATATAAAAGAACTACCGGTCTACGTTCCATTTCATATGTATTTAGTAATGAAGATGGTGCAATACCCTTCATCACAGCAGCTATTTTCCAGGCAAGATTATGGGCATCCTGAATGCCAGTATTCATTCCTGCAATTCATGGAGAAATTTTTTGCATCAGACTGCTTTCTATTAGGTCAATAAAACAACATTGACTTAAAAGCAGATTACTTTATTCATGTTGTGTCTATAAAGATAACTCCTTTATCATGACATTTATATCTGATGGATAGAACATGATACACATAATGTATGTATTTCAATCCACTTGAGCATTCTTGAGAAAACCTGTGTGTGTACCGTTTGTTCAAACACTTAAAAAAATTTTGAAAACTTCTGTGCAGTTTTTAAAAAGATTTTATAATCCAAGCTTATTATTTAATTCTGGTTAGCAAGCACTTTAATCAAAGTACACCATCAAAGCCCTCTTCCTCATGTATGGTCGTCGTGTGGATATGTCTGATCAAGCTAGGCCACCATTCCATTAACAACTATCTTGTTCCCATAATACATTTCCCATTTACTTGAACGACATCAAAGACTTCCAGCCTTGTTCATAATCTGTGTTAAGTGACTCCCCCACCCCAAAAAAAAAAAAAAAATTGCATACATGCAAAGTAAGAGCGGACATATTCACACTAGACTTTTACTGTTTGCTTAAGGATATAGAACTACAGACCAAATCCACCAGCAGGAGGAAATCGATGGGCAGCATCACCGGCAAGAAATATTTGGTTTCCAGAAGATATAAACTTCTCAGCAACTTCAGCATGCATAATCCAAGGCCTTATGTCAATTACATTTATGTCATCAAGTTGCTGGCCAACCAGTTTGCTGATTAACTTCTCACATGCCTATTACAATTGAGTCCATTTAGAATATGCCCCGCTACACTTAGTAACAACACAAGTCATGAAAAAACATGTGTAAAATGAATATCAGTCACATTCACATCAGATATAAAATTTAAATTTAGCACGCTTTAATTAATGCATCACTTTGTGACGAACTTCAAGCATAAGTAAACTACATCCGTTCAATTAACCATCTGAAATGAATGGATATACCTTTGAGCTGAAGTCCTCAATTGTTTGCTGAGGTGGATAAAATGGCATCTACAATAAGCACAAGAAAACTCTTGCGTTAGGTTATGTGGAATTAGATGCTCATGAAACGATGCAGTCATATTCCAACATTGGCTGCAGCATGTTATACCTGCAATACAAATTCCCCCTGCCTGAGGTCATGAGCAACCAGAACTCCAATGGCTTCAGTATTGAAGATAAAAAAGAGCATGCCAGGATTCTCCTTAAGCAAATACTGCCCAAGGTCTTTGCTCAAAAAATGGACACTGACAAGCTTCTGCAAGTCTGTCTCACCTCTCATTTGTATTCCTGCAAGCTTTCTCACAGTGCTTCCAGAACCATCTGCCCCGACAAGGATGTTACAATGGATTTTCTTTTCTACACGCTTCCCCATACCCATTGAAGAAGCTGTCACTGTAACAATCTCATTGCTTGGATCAATAGACACACACTCATGACCCATCAGTATTCTTCTTTCATGAGGTCGTTCACTTTCTTCTGAGCTTTCAGGTGCACATAGCTGGAAGTCTAGAGTCTGAAGCTGCCTAAGTAGTAACGAATGCAGCTTGTACTGTGAAAAGTGTGCAACGGAGACAGGGCTGATGACATGCTCAAGATCTGATGATAAGGAAAAGATATATGAATCTTCCAAAGCTTAATAATGACCAGAAAGAACAAAGTCTTGAAATACTGGCTGATAGCAATGTATATATAAAAAATGTCAAAATTCCTCATAAGAGTTAAGCTTCCTATTGCCATCAGACTTAAGCAAGCTCCCAAACCACGAATAGCACCTTGAGGTTGGATGTGGTCCACCGATCCAAGACTGGAGCCAGAGAGTGAAGTGCAGTATACAAACTTCCTCCATAAATCCACAGGTGGCTGAGAGCTCTGGATTTCTTCAGCAAGGCCATCAATTTTGCGGAATATCTGAAGCCACACTTTGGTCAAAACTAATGCTTTTGTATGGGGGAAACTTACGAGAGAATCTGCAACAAAAATTTAACCTCCATGGATCGATTGTTGATGAAGTGTGCTTGTGGATGTTTTGAAAATGTAATGTTTCTCTCCAAAACTGCACATTTAATCCCTATAATGTAACATAATCAGTTATACATCATAATTGGTCATTCAGCTGAATCAATGCAGGATTAATATAAAATTAGAAAAATGACAAGAAACAAGTCATTAAGGTCATTGTGACTAAGAGACAGTCAAAAAATGTACCACTTAATAATTATTAATAATTAAAATGAAACTAAGACAATCATATCATAGACAATTTTTCGCACCATAAATATTAATAATGGGGAAGAAAACATCTTCTATTGGTGACAAAACACCATTTAATCTTTATCTTTCTTTTTCTTTTTCTTCCCCCGTTACAAAGGGGCAGGCAAAACAGCTTGAAAGCAAGGAGGATTGAACCCATGACCTCCCACAAGTGGGGGGAAGCTTGATGCCACTAGGCCAAAGGGCCATTGGCATCATTTAATCTTATCACAGCTGACAAGACATCATAATCTGGGTACATTTTAATGATGGCAACTATATATTTTGTGATAAAACCTTGAACTCAGTGCCAAAAACAGTTGATGCAAAAATTTGACATTGCTCTTATAAAAAAGTACTACACTACAGGAGTATCAGCATAGATTTTGACAGCAAATACGAACTGGCAATCAAACCAAACCTTGAGCAACTATAAACAGCAATGCTTTAATTCAGTGTTACCTAATTTAGTCAGAAGAATAGAGAGAATAAGACCGACAGGTCCAGCACCTACGACCAAAACTGGAAGCACTGCATCTTTATCATTGAAGGGCTCAGACTTGGAGAAGCCTCTATTTTGGATGTGTTGAAGAGTACCTCCTCTGTTTCTAGTTTTAGCCTTGAATGGGTAATTGCACCTCCTTAGAAGCCTTAATAACCCCATTACCAACAAACCGCAATCCAGGCTCAATTATTCCCCATGAAAGAGATAATTTAAGTTTGAAATATAATCTGAAAAGGAGAGTCAAGAAATAATTTTAAAAAATGGGGAGAAAAGCAAAAGTAAAGTGCTTGTATTCATCATTTCTGATAAATTAGAGTTTAGTACATTTACTAATGTACCGGTTTAAATATCAAGCAACCATAAGCCAAGAAATGGCAACGGACGCATTACACAAACATTTTGAATTGGTTTCTTTGCACCCTAGAAAAGCAGCAACAAGGTGCTGCTTTTTCATCCTAGTTGTTGATTCACGCCACGTTGCATAGGAAGCCACGTGTCTAAAAAGCTGAATCAGGATTCTGGAGAATCCAGTCTGCTACTTGCCCTGGTTGTACAAGGCAACCAAAAACTGTAAAAGGCCGCAGCCCTGGCTTCATTAAGAAGCCTAACACATATTGCTGTGTGGACTCACCTACGGGACGAACCCCTGATGAATGAAGAACCAAAACACTGGCTCCAATGGTGAGCCAAATGATGGTGTTTATAGAGAAACCGATGAACTTTGGCATGAGAAGAAGGAACGGGAAGGCGGCAATGATGCAATTGCATGATAAGAGCAAAACTGCAAACGGACTACGTGGCTTCTTGTGCATCACGAGATAGAACCAAATTACTTGGATGAAACAGAAGCCCAGGAATGCAGAGAAACCAGAAACACAACGAAGCCACTTCGTGCATTAAGAAGCAAGATGGAAGACGGGAAACGAATGGGTGCTAGTATATTCAGCTTAGAATGAATTATCAGGCATCATATCGTATGGATAAAAAGGACCCAAAGCTGTTTCACAGCCACGAATTATGCTAACTCATAAAAATGGCGCGAAGGAAGTAGAGCAATTACCTAGCAATGCACGAATTTGTGATTGCAAATTCAAACCATAAATTTCGTCCCGAACGAACGATACCTACAATACAATAACGTCATTTAATCTAAAACCACGAATCCAATTACCTTGGAAGTTGCAATGGGGCGGACGCTCAAACTGGATCACATCCACAATGAAAAGATACTTGCACACAAAAGGAAGTAAATACTAAATAAGCTTATGAGAGTCCAAGTAGCTGTGTTTGGGTTCTTGAGAGAGTAACGAACCAGTACACAGAAAGAAGCCGCGGTTTTCCGCCATTTTTCTCCAAAACCGCGAAGTTAATGAAATCTCATTGCTCATCGACTTATTTGGAACCCGGCTCGACTTCAGCCGGGTTGGCTTGGGGTCGGCTATAACCGCTTGGAATATTCCGCCACACCGTTACTTTGTTTGGGGCTCGAACGCTCGAACCAGTTTTGCGCATTTCTCCGGATCACGAAAATTATAATTATTCAGCAAAATTAATTATTAAAATACAAAATTTAGATTATTGAATTGTCTCCATCTACCTTCCCCGCGCTAGCAAAGCTAATATGCAGATTCTAACCAAACAACAACAAAAAAAAAAAAAAGAGAAGCTAATATGCAGATTGGTAGAGGAAATGAAGAACAAGGAAGATAATATCAGACTCGGTATTTATTCCCAACCGTCGGCCAATCAGCATATGATGGGGCCGGGTTATCATGGACGGGTTGGGCCAGTTTTTGTGAGCACACGCCATAGGGAACCCAACTACTCGCTGCCGTGGCAAAGAGGTTAGTACAGCTAAAATAGCGGTGGATTATTATTAATACGGGGAAAAACTAGAGAATAGTGAATGATAGTTATTCTGGCCAAATAAAAAAGAAGTGAATGATACTATGATAGTTATGGAAAAATATGATAAAAATTATATTTATAGTGTTGTCATAATATTTAGTTGTTCTAAATAATTACAATTTTCATAATCATATCCAATAAATATCATTCTTTTTCGGTGCTTTGCTTTTGTTTTTCCTTCTTCCAAATTAACCTCGCTTTCTAAGATAGTTTTATTTATTCACTTTTAACTATGGCTTCTTTTTTTTTTATTGGGTGTCAGAACTATGGCTTCTTAATTTGTTAAGCAATTTACTCATTCATTTCTTAACGTAGGAATTGCTTAGTTAATTTAGATAGATTAAGAAAATTCAATAAATAAATTAGTTAATTATAACAAATGTAATCTTAACATGATCTCTCTAAGATGTCTATCTATAACATTATATTATATATCAGTTTATAAATTAAATAAATTAATTTTAAAAAAAATGATATATGTGCATATAAAAAAACAAAATGAATTGAAATTTTATGGAATGTATTGATAATAAGCTTTTAACAATCTATAATTAAGAAAGTTTATCATGGATGGCCTTAAGAAGTTGATGCCATAATAAGATAGAATCAATTTTAGTGCTCATCACAATGATGAGCACTATAGTATTTATCATTGTAATAAATTGTGTACCTTTCAAATATAATTTTAACCAAGAAAAAAAACATCAAACCAGCCGGTTTAACCAAAAATCTAATGAATTGGGCAATAGTTCAGTTTAGTCTTGGTGTTGACCAGACATCGAACCGAACAAATTGGTGTAAATCGATAAAAACCAGTGATAAAACGATTTGGATGATTATATTACTATTGGTCTTTTTTTTTCTTGTTCAGCTCTTATTATCTCAGTTACTATAGATTTGAATAAATTTTAATGATGATTTTGGCATTAATGATCATTAATTTTAATTATTGATTAATCATAAAAATCAAAATTCTTAATGTTGCCATTATAATCAAAGTATTGTTATATTTCCTTGTATCTTGTTATTAGTGATTATTAATATTATTGTATTTTATCAATTAAATTATATTGTTTTAACATGATTAGTTTGATCTCAAGTTGATCCCGATTAAACCAACTAACTTTTGTGGTTTAATGTCTCGTCTGGTTTTTTATTTCTTGATTTTAATGTCTAGATGCAATACTTCCAACTAATGATTTTAATAATTTTTTAAAAAATAAAATTGAATATGAGTCACCCAAATTAGATCTAGGCAATGTGCAGTGGTGATTAGTTGTTGATACTCATCAATCCACTTAGCACCAAAGCTCATTTTGCCATAGGAGAGCTTCTCTTAAGGCGTTGGTCATATATAAGATGTTTAGAATTTTTGGACTATAAGATAAAATGTATAATGTGCATACATAAACACACACAGGGGATTGCGATTTTAAAGTCATAATCCTTGAATTATCTGCTACAAAACCCTACGCAAGAAGACCTCTGATCTTTAGAAGATGATGGATCCCTTCCCATCCACCTCGTTGGTATTCGATACATACCATGTAATAACTTCTTCAACACAAGACATGATTAATTATCTTTTTAATGCACAGGGCCTTGGCATAAACTATCGTGCAAGGGAACAAGATCGGTACGGTACATATCAATAACATAAATATCTCTACATCCAAGAGGCTGAGGGTCAACCAAATTCAAAGGTGATGTCAAGAGAATGAGTCTGGGGAACAAGCCCATCAATATACCTGGTCGTTTTCCTGAAATTGGGATCAAAAAAAAAAATTCCAATTAAAGGAAGGCACTAATTACAAACAATATTAAACCTTAATCCTTTACTTATAAGGCAACTTTCGTGCTATTAAACTAATTTAGCAAATATATGCTGGTCAAAAAAAAAATTTAGCAAATATATACTACGATACATCCAATACGGTATTTTTCCAAAAAGGTGTCATTCATTAAAATAGTGTTAAATATAATGTGTACATTCTATACCTGTTGTAGCTACAAGTAGTGTCTTTCTATATCGATTAATGGTCATAATTGGCATAAAAAGACACCAACGCTAATATGTTTTTTTAATTGAAGTGATAGATACAAAGGGAAGTAATAAACCCGCAACATTTTACTTATAAGAAAGCTTTCATATTATCAAATTCCAAATTTATTGCCGTCAAAACTAGTTCATTGGCTGTAAATTTAGTAAATACTATTTCCGGTTCTCAATATAAGAGTTAGTTGACTAATTTGAGTACATTAAGAAAGTTTATTAAATTAATTATTTATAATAAATGTGTTATTTTTTCTAAAATACTTATACTAATTATGTGTATTAACTAAAACTATTATTTGATGAAACCTTTAACATGTATGAGTGTAATTTTTATAAGGACTACTTTAAAAAAATATATAAATATGACAGACAAAATAAATTAGAGTCTCATATTTATGATCAAATTAAATATAAAATTAATTTTTATGTGTACTATAATATATTCAACATGGTATTTTTTTTTTTAACAAAAAAGAAAAACAGAGAATTTAAAATCCAACGAACGGCATGAACATTCAATATCTGTTGTCTGATGACAAATAGGTGGTGAGCGAGTGGGCGCCCATCTCAAGTAAATGTATTATAATTCTGATTTCTGACATGCCGCCATGTGATTCAAACAACAACACTGCTGACTCATGGACTCGAATGTTCAGTTATTGTGAAATACCATGACCCGAAGTTAATGGTTTGCATCTTCTTGTTTTATTTTTTTAAGTGAAACTAAAAATATTCTCAAATCACATTAAATTTGAGGCTAATCCCTTTCAGATATGAAGTAGTTGAGGAAGATTCCCTCAATAAATATATTTTTTGAAATTTAAATTTGTATTCTCTTTTTTACAGAGATAAGACTGATACCATTTCAACTAACAGTTAAACTGTGAACTAGTTTGTTTAGTAGTTTCGTAAAATTATTTGCCGCTCAAGAGGAAATCTCGTCTTTAACAACTTTTTCTTATGTTTTCCTCCAAACCTTCAACGGCTAAGTTTACATGTTATCGATATCAAAGCATGGACTTAAAGCTGAGTTAACCTTTAATATCGATGTATGCTCCCATTCCAAGTATAAAAGCCAATTAAAGAGATGATTTTTTATATTAAATACAAAATTTCATATTTATCATTCCTTCAAATTAATGTATTTAACTTGTAAATTGATATATAACATGATATTATATTATGATGCTTTAAGGAGATTATATGTCATTTTTGTTAAAATTAAATAATTTATTTAGTTTTTTAATCTATTCTAATTAATTAAGTTGCTCCTATATTAAAATACTAGAAAAATATATTATTAAGTTTATGATAAATTATTTATTAATTTGTCAAATAACTCGATAATAACAGACGCTTTAATTTTACTAATAAGGAATATGTGTGGGTTGTGATAAAAGAAAATAAGCTGGATCAACTAGTACTGAATAATTATATGAATGCAACGCAATCAATGCCTGCTAAATATTTCATAAAAAATGCCAGATAAGTAGTAAATACTATTTTAAATATCTTATGGCTTTAGATGGAAAAAAATTACAACCCTTAATATAAAACCCACTCAATTAATTTGAAGAGATTAAAAAAATTACTAAATTAATGTAAATTGTTTATATTTATTATTTTTTTAAAATTAATTTAATTCACTTATAAATTGATACTACTCCCTGTTTTTAATATAAGATCTAGTTAACTAATTGGGAAAGATTAAAGAAGTTACTAAACTAATTAATTATAACATATGTTACATAATTTTTAAAAAATATTTATGTGAATTATTACATTTTATATCAATTACTTAATTGTAATATATATTACATGATCATGTTTCCGTAGATTATTAAATTTTATATCAATTATTTAATTATAATATATGTTATTAAATATTTTAGAGTAGTTATTAAATTTCATTTCAATTATTTAATTATAATATATGTTATTAAATATTTTAGAGATCATATAATATATATTATAATTAAATAATTTAGTAATTATATTAAATTAATTAATTAGGTTTCGTATTTATCACCGGAGCTAATATACATCTAACATCTCACGGCATCGGGATATTTATAGAAGCGAATTAGGACTCGGGAAGAAGCAAGAAGCAAGAAGCAAGAAGCAAGAAGCAAGAAGCGATAGTCTTTGAGGGGGGGGGGGGCTGGGTGAGTCAGCATCAGTCCAAACAAGGAATTTATGAAAGAGGCCGTATTTGGTCAGAAGCTAAGCTGGAGTGGCCCGTCTTGGTCACGTGAATCCCGTCAGAGCTCTGAAGGACCTAACGTCCGTTGTCAATCCATGCTCCTCCCCATCTCTCACCGTCCACGTGTCCTCCATCTAAGCAAAATGATTTTTTTTTTAATTATTTGACTTGAAGTGTATAAAAGCCCCATCGGTCCGGCACTTGATACTGCTTTCGTTCATTAATATGAGAAGAATTTTGATGTTTAATTTAATTTTAAATATAAAGTTTTAAAGTATTTTATTTGTCATATTTATCCATTTTCTAATGTAATCTTTATAATGGTTACACACATTAAAAGTTTTATCACATTATATTCTAGTTAATATATATGATTAGTAAGGATATTTTAGGGGAAAGACAGAAAGAAAACAGTGAGGAAAATGTTTGAATATTCTAGGGTACCGAAAAGGTGACCCTACCATTGTCTCTTATAGATAAACCCAATGTGGGTAAAAGGAATGATACGATCAGGACCCTACACGTGTACACAGGATATTATACAGAATCATAAAAAGGGTGTATATTGTCTATTTATTTATTTCCTCTAACATTCCCCCTCAAACGAGAGGGTGTCCTGAACAGCCCGAGTTTGTCTCTATGATGAAGAAATTGCGTGTGCGTGAGGGCCTTAGTGAGACAGTCAGCAACTTGAAGAGGAGATGAAATGTGTTGAATATTAAGAAAACGTGATTGAATCATATCTCGTATGAAATGAAGATCAATGTCAATGTGCTTGCTGCGAGAATGCTGAATTGGATTTGCTGCAAGTGCTTTGGCACTGAGGTTGTCGCACCAGATCATAGCTGGTTCTTTTAGGAACAATCCGAGCTCAGACAGTAGTGAATGTATCCATTTTAGTTCAACAGCTCCGTCGGCCAAGGCTCGGTATTCGGACTCTGTGCTTGATCGGGACACTACACGTTGCTTTCGAGAGGCCCAAGAGATCAGAGTGTCTCCCAAGTAGACACATAAACCAGCCATAGACTTTCTATCATCCACATCTGTAGCCCAATCTGCATCGGTGAATGCAGTTAATTGAAGTGAAGAAAAAGGTTTGATATGCAGCCCATAATGATATGTTCCTTTGAGATATCTAAGAATCCGTTTCACCCCCTGAAAATGTATGTCAGTTGGATTAGACAAAAACTGACTGAGCTTGTTAACCGAGTAGGCTATGTCTGGTCTGGTTGTAGTAAGATATTGGAGGGATCCGATGGCTCTTCGATAAAGTGAGGGATCCTTCATTAAGTCACCGTCAGTCTTGGAGAAGATCCGTCCAGTGACCATGGGGGTTGGAACAGGAGCACAGTCAAGCATATTGAGTTTCTTCAAAATATCTAAGGTGTATTTTCCTTGATTCAAATACAAGCCGGAGGAGTCTCGAAAAATTTCAATGCCAAGAAAAAAATAGAGCGGTCCAAGGTCCTTTAATGAGAACAGAGAGTTCAACCTTACAACAAATTGTTTTAAGTAAACAGGATTATTCCCGGTAATGAGAATATCATCAACATATATGAGAATAAATACCATGATCCCCTGTTGTCGAAGATAAAACAGTGACACATCACTGCGAGCATTCTAAAAACCCCAACTGAGCAAGGTGAGTCTCAACCGATCGTACCACGCACGAGGAGCTTGTTTGAGCCCATAAATCGCTTTCATAAGCTTGCATATGTGAGTCGGTCGTTCTGGATCTTGAAATCCCTCAGGCTGTCGCATATAAACATCCTCTTGAAGGTATCCATTCAGAAACGCATTGTTTACATCAAGCTGTCGAATCTCCCAGTTAAATGTTACAGCGATTGTAAGAACAACGCGTACTGTGGTCGGCTTGATGACCGGACTGAAAGTCTCACCGTAATCGATCCCTGGAGATTGTTGAAAACCTTTAGCAACGAGGCGAGCTTTTGGTTTAAGAATGGACCCATCGGCGTTGAATTTAGTCTTGAAGACCCATTTGCAATCCACAAGTTTCTGACTCCCATTGTAAGGAACAAGGACCCAAGTTTGATTGCGCCGCAAAGCTTCGAACTCGTCGACCATGGCTCGTTTCCAGTAGGGAGAATTCAAGGCTTCGTGAGTGGTGCGTGGTTCGGCAAGAGAGGAAAGAGATGCTGGGTCTTCATGTGCGAGGAGACCAATGAAAGGATATTTTGGTTTGTGAATCCCATCCTTAGCTCTCGTAACCATAGGATGAGTGTTCAGTGGAGGCAAGGTTTCAAGGGAGGCAGAGACTTGGTCCGTCGGTTGCAAAATAGGACTTGAACTTGGACCAGGAGAAGATGACTCACTATTGGACGAAAATGGAGTGGAGTCAGCATGAGAAAGTTGTGGACTTGGTGACCTCGGCGGGCTGTCAAGTGGGCTTAAGTCCACTATTGGGCTTGAGTCCAGGCACATCTCGTCTCTGGTGCGGGGAACTAATGGTGGCTAAGTATTGGGCTCAAGAGACTCGTGAACTTGGGCTTTGGATGAGGTAATGATGAATGGGAGTAGGCCGTCATTATCTGTGGATGCAGCTCTTTTATTAAGAAAACCTGTAACACATGGAAATAAGAATGGGTCAAAGACTACATGTCTAGATATAAAGATACGACCTGTAGCACTAAGGCACTTGTATCCCTTGTGTTGAGACACAGGCCCAAGATAAACACAGCGTTGGCTGTGAAATTGAAATTTATTAGCATTGTAGGGTCTGAGGCACGGGTAACAAGCACAGCCAAAAGGCTGAAGAGCTTTATAATCTGGTTCAGTCTTGGTGAGATGAAAAAGAGGCGTAGAGTCACCAAGAGTTGGAGTGGGTAGTCGGTTAATTAAATATACAGCAACTTGGAAGGCATCAACCCAGTAGGTGAGAGGAAGATGAGCTTGGGCCAATAGAGTCAGGCCCATTTCAACAATGTGTCTGTGCTTACGTTCTGCCCTTCCATTTTGTGGAGAAGTATAGGGGCAAGTAAACCTCATTTCTATACCAGTGGCTTGAGCTACTGGAATGAATGGTTTATATTCTGTACCATTATCACATTGAAGAGCCTTAATTTTAGCATTAAACTTGTTTTCAACCTGCACTTTAAACATTTTAAAGGCATTGATAGCTTCACCCTTATGTTTCAGAGGAAAGAACCACGTATATCTGCTGTAATCATCAATAAAATGGATATAGAAACGATGACCATGTTCAGATTGCACCGGTGAAAGACCCCAAAGATCAGTGTGAACCAGTTCAAGAGGAAAGGATGCATGAGACATAGACTTTGAAAATGGTAGCTGTTTAGATTTACCGAACTGACAGGCTTCACAAATAAACTCAGTTCTACACTGAGCTTTAACATTACATATATCTAGAATAAGTTTCAGGATTCTAAAACTAGGATGTCCTAACTTGTAATGCCACTTGAGAATTTCATCACGACCAAGAGATGGTGAAGTAGCTGCCATGAAGACCTTCGCTGGAGCCAGATTACGCACGGGATACATTCCCTGATTTGTCGTCCCTCGGACCAGTACCTCCCCTGTTTTCTTGGCCTTCACAGTACATGAATCATCAGAGAAATTAACATCAACACCATTGTCTTTAGCCAGTTTATGAACACTGATCAATTGTTTAGTAGCAGATGGGACGATTAAAATATCATTCAAGTGTAAGGAAGTATTAGGAGCAGATAAAGTAGCAGATCCAATACCAGCAACAGGGGCCTTCTCACCAGTACAAGTGTAGAGATCAATCTTACCTACTGGAAGATAAGAGTCCAGCTGATTCGGGTTCGGGGTAACATGATAGGTAGCACCGCTATCCATGTACCAAGAAGGATCCACCACAGTTTGTGGAGATGCATAGTGTGCTTGAGGAGGTGCTCCATTATAGTTCCCAAGATTTCTACCAAAATCAGATGAAGGGAAAACTCGGTCAGATCGATTATAGCATTGATTAAAATAGTGACCATACCGATCACAGTTATGATAATAGGGCCGGTTGTCATAGTTGCTGCCATAGTTCCCCCTGCTGTAATATCCCCCTCGGCGACCTCTGGAGCGTCGACCACGGCCACGAGACCCACGCCAGGGAGAGCCTCGACTCGAATCAGTGTGGCGATTTTCATGAGGGCCGTGTGTAACAACATTGGCCATAGGTTGAATTGATAGAGCAGAGAAGTGATTTAGCTGTTCAAGACGAGATTCGAAGGCAAGGAGAGCAGATTGAACAGCTACCCAGGTCAGATCTGGTTGGTCTATGAGTTTTACCACTACGGCATTGTACTCACCGTCGAGACCATTGAGGGTGTGAAGGATCAGATCTTCAGGCGCAACAGGGGCGCCGACGAGCTGGAGTTGATCGGCGAGATTCTTCAGTTTTGCCAAATATTCAGTCATTTTCAGTCCGTTTTTCCGAGTGTTGTGTAGTTCCGTCTTGAATACCATCACTCGAGACTTGAGGGACGCACAGGTGAGTTCACGGGCTCCATTCCACAGCTCACAAGCGGTTTTACAGTGAAGGAGTTGAGCACCGACGTCCACCGTCATTGTGTTGCGGAGCCATCCAACGAGCATGCGGTCTGTGGTGTGCCATTCTTCATATGCTGGATTTGAGACAGATTTACCTTCTTCAGTAATGAGTCGCACTGGAGTCGTATCTTCTCCAATAATATGATGTTCAAGTTGGTTTCCTTCAATCAGAGGAAGGACCACGGACTCCCAGATGAGGTAATTTTCTCTATCCAACTTGATAGAGGAGGTTTGACTGGACGAATGAAATAAGGAATATGTCTTAGCTAAGAAGACGACGCATTGGAAGGCGAGGTGGCTGAGGATGTCGACATGACGGCTAGGGCTCTGGTACCAAGAAAGAAAACAGTGAGGAAAATGTTTGAATATTCTAGGGTACCGAAAAGGTGACCCTACCATTGTCTCTTATAGATAAACCCAATGTGGGTAAAAGGAATGATACAATCAGGACCCTACACGTGTACACAGGATATTATACAGAATCATAAAAAGGGTGTATATTGTCTATTTATTTATTTCCTCTAACAAAGACAAAACTTAATTATTACAAACAACTAATTTAAATGATTTTCTTAATTTAGTTAAATCAGTCAATTAACTCTTATATCAAAAAATAAAGGTAGTATAAGAGTTCATTGACTAATTTAAGTAAATTAAGAAAATTTGTTAAATTAGTTATTTGTAATAATCAGTTGTTGTCTCAAAAATACTCTTACTAATTATGTACATTAACTAGAATCACCATTTGATGAAATTTTTAACATATGCAAATACTACAAAGATAATTTTGAAAAAATAGATAAATATGAGAGATAAAATAAATGAAGTTTTATATTTAGAATCAAATTGAATGTCAAACTATCTCTCATATTAAAGAGATGAGGTAGTAACGTTTGTTATTAAAAAAACAATATACCAAAAATAATATTTTTATATTTTTAAATAAGGTTTTGAATTTGAGTAGTGCAATGAAAACAATATTTCCCAACACATCTTCCTAAATAGTATTCCTCCGATTCTAAACATAAAACTTATTTTGTAATGTAAATTATACTATAAAATATATTTTACATTTAGGACCGGAAGAGTAATTCGCTAGACTTTTATCGTTTAGAGTGAAAATAATCACGTGGAAATGAATTTTTCTTATGATAAAGCGTAAATGGAAATATTTTATTATGCTTATTTTGAGAGGAAATAAGTGCAACTTGAAGGCAAAACAGGAGTACGATGTATTTCTCCAAAACAGCACTCACTTTTATTTGAAAATTAAACTAAAACAAAGAAGCCACTCTTAAAATAAATTTAAGTTTGGAAGATTTATTTATAATAATTGATTTATTTACATTTCCAGTAAACAAACAAAAATATCTATTATCGAATAAATGCAATTAAAATATAAAAGAAATTTTGTTATATTCGAAAATTGGAAAATATGTCAATCCAAAAAGAATTTTGAAATAAAGATTGCAATCAATTGCAATAAATGCGTTATCGATTTTTTTTCTGCAGCAAATGCGTTATAACACGTGTGAATTAAAATTAATATTTTTCTTTTGCCACCAGAAGTATGAATTAAAATCTATACTACATTTACATCAACTTACTTTTGTTTCATTTTTTTAAAATTTTTTATACTTCCCAAATTAATACGTACTATATATAACCTGTTGAATCTTAAAAAAATTAAAATCTAATAAACCGTCTCTCAAAATTAAATTGGACTCAAGTTGAATATTTATTTTATGAAAAAATAAATACGATATTATCTTCGCCCACAATAAATTGGTTATACATTCTTCTGGAAACTACACTTTACAACATAGGAAATAATGTTGGCAAAAAAAAAACAACAAAAAAAAATGAAAGTCCAGTATTTAATTTAAAAATGACTGAAATTCAGTTAAAATAAAAAATCTAATTAAAATCACAAAACTAAAAAAACTATTAACTTAACTATAATTAGGGGGTGTTTGGAATTAGAATAAGTACTTTTTAAAAATACTTTTCCATAAATCGAGATAAACTCCTTCACGTATTTATTATGTCAAATTCTCTAATCACACATAAATATATATGTTTTTTTTTTGAAATACTAGCATTTAATTATAATTTCACGAAAAAAAAAGCACACATGGTCATATATATCGACACAGTAAATTTAAGGAGTTTGACCTAACTTTTTCTCTAATTATTTTTCTCACGACCTATGAGGATCAAATATCATTTCACTGATCAAGAAGCATTGGTTTTGGCTGTTTAAGTACAAATTAAAGTCTCGAGTTTAAATATGTATAAATGCTGAAAAAGTACTTAAAAAAGCTATTCTTAACGGAAAAAAATCATAAAAAAAACTTTGAAAATTGAAAAATTGTACATAGGGGACTTGTTCGTAAAAATTATTGTCAAAATCTATATTATCGCTGTTAAAACTTATATTAATATTGTTATGAGTTCCTATTTATAATTTTTTTTTACTTGACGGTCTTTTTTTCCTTCAATTTTTCCATTCTTAATTGACCTAACAATACCATAATATAGTTCGGGAAAAATGACATAAAAAGAAGTTGAAAATTGTAATATTCTGATTCAGACACCTAAGAATTAAAAATTCCAGAAGAGGAAGTGGTGCCTGATCTGGTATTTTGCAAATATAATAAAATGACTAAAACGCTTTTATATCAATTTTTTTTCAAAAAAAGTTATCAAGTTTTTCATGGTCAGATATTTCTTATTATTTACTGTTTAATATTTGTTATTGTCAATTTATAACTTATTAATAAATTTTTTGATACAAAGATATTTTTGTTATTTAACCACGTTTGTAAACTGCACAATCCAATATCATTTTGTTTTGAAATTTTGAAATGGTAAATATCTAAATTAGAATACTCTAATTTTTAATTTTTTTTTTCCTTTTTTATGTAATTTTCCCGCACATCATTGTCCCTACCATCTATATGTCAGATTTCTCAGATAAGATCTATAAATAAAGTATATGGTAAAATTTCACTGAAGCCACCCTTCGTATGCCTCGATGAAAGTAAGTAACCGTTAAAATGGACAAAAGATAAATTGAACCTTGGAAGGAGCAGCAGAATACAGGCTTTGTGCCCCCAAGAAACACTCAGAAAACTCCGTCCAAAGATTCCATCACAGTCCAAATATAAGATGAATTTGTGAATTGCACCCTTTCTGTCACATGCATTCCTCATTTCTGAACTCACACAATTCCCTAGGTAAATTATTATACTTTTCTTATCATCATCATGTTATTATTATCATCTCCCCCCCCCCCCCCTTCTTTTCTCTTTTTAATTTTCCTCTTAAACTCTCTCTTTCTGTCATATCTGGGTGATTCCTTAATGCAACATGCAACTATTTTGTTAGTATTTTAATGTTCCATGGATCTCTAATTCACTCCTCTCTCTCTCTCTGCACTTCTCAGAATTCTATGGTTTGATGCAGAAACCTCTTCTTATTCTTCCTTCCAACACACTTCATTCCTCAGATACAACTTCACTCTCTTCACAAATGGCTCTGTTGCGAATCTGTTTCTAGCTTCCTTTTGTTTTCTTCTTTCTTCTTGTTATAAACTCCTCCCCCCCTCAAAAAAAAAAAAGTACTTGAAGATTCCAACTTTTTGAAACCAGTCATCTATTCCTGAGTCCACAAGAAAGTCTCAGGAACTTGAACTTTTGGCAAATATAGGATCTGATTTTTTTTTTTTTAAAAAAAACATTGTGTGTAGACTTGAAGTTTTGTGATATTATTCTCTGTGAATCATACTTGAGAATGAGATCTGTGGAAGAAAAAGGGTGCTATGGCCATCAAACGCAGGAGACTTCAAATCCAAGTGCCGTTTATTTCGAATTTCACAAGGGGACCAACCGTACCACTCTGGGAAAACCCACACCGTCTAAGTGGGACGACGCTCAAAAGTGGCTCGTAGGGTTGTCGTCTTTGTCAAGAGGAGGCGAGAAAAGCCAGTCTAAGAACAAACCCAGGAACTCAAACGCAGATGACTTGAGATTAATAGCTCCTGTTCCACAGAAAGAGCAAGATTTTGATGAGAAAGAAGAGGAAGACGAAGAAGAACGCAGCACAACTTGCCAGCACGAAGCAGAGGAAACAAAGAAGGTAGAATGCGACGAGTCGTTTTGGCGAATCAACAGGCCGGCGAGCCAAAACGCATCATGTGTTCGATCGATATGTGTGAGAGATATGGGGACGGAGATGACGCCTATAGCTAGCCAAGAGCCTTCGAGAACGGCGACGCCGATCAGAGCCACAACTCCGGCGAGTCGAAGCCCCGTTCATTCAGGGACTTCTACGCCATTGAGGAGTTCAAATGGGGGTAATAGTGGAAATACGAGAAGTTATGTGGCAGAACAATCAAGCCCCTCCAAGAAGACGGAGAATCCAGCTAAGAAATTAAGCCCTCTCGAAAGCAGAGCATTGGCATGGGATGAAGCAGAAAGAGCCAAATACATGGCAAGGTAACGTGATCTATGAATCCCATATATGTTTAAGAACTTTTAAGTAATTATAATTTCCTCCTTAATAAATAAGGACTGTTATTCATATTATTGCTTTCTATAATTGTATACTTTTGTCATTCAGACGTGATTAGATATGGTATATGAATTTGTCGCTGCAATATCAGTATCATCACCTTTGTTTTTTTTTTTTTTAAAAAAAAACAGAATCAGTTCCAATATTTGTAGGAATCTTTAATTAATTAATTATATTATTATAACAAATATGGTTAGATATTAAATTAATTCTGGTGATGATTCTATAGGAATGGACTTAGATTATATTGGATTATTCTGCACTGATTCTAAGAATGGGAAGCTTGCATTGTAGGTTCAAGCGTGAGGAGGTAAAGATTCAGGCCTGGGAAAACCATCAGATAAGAAAAGCTGAGATGGAAATAAAGAAAATGGAGGTAATAATGGAATTATTTTCAATTTCTTCTAGTTTTTCTTCTAAAATATCGTATCTGATGAGTTAATATCTTGAATACTCTTGTGTGTGTGTAAACTTATTAAAAAGATTTCTGGGCAGTGATTGGTCATATCGTTGAAACTACTGCAGGCGATGAAAAGTAATAGAATAGATATAATGGGAAGTTTTAAAGATTGAATGATTGGGTTAGGATTAAAGTTAGAGGCTGTTTGGTGACCAAATAAACTTAAGGAGGGTTAAGATTAGATTTAAGGGACTAAGAATGATGTTCAGATAGTTATGAAAAATATATAAAGGGGCCATAAAAATCAGAAATGGCTCGCCTTTTAACGTGTGCTTCTCTGCTATGGGTATGTTGTTATGAGTGGCTTTAGAGAGTTTCAATTTCCAAACATGAAGTGACAGAGAGAATTCTTGAAATGAATCATGCCATGGCAGAGATCTTTCCCAATGAGTGGTCACGGTTCCAAGTGTTTGTATATATTCTTCCGGTCCTAAATATATGACCTTTATATTAGTGTATATAAAATTTTTATATTTAGGACCGGAAGAGTAGTAATACTAGTGTGTGTACACACACATGTATATTAGCTTCAAATATTAATTTCACGTGGATATTCATAAACTGCTTCGTAAATTGGTATTAAAGAATTCCTTTTATATATGTATATATATAGTTTCTTATTCGAGTATTGTTAGACTGAATTGAGATAATTCTCTCAAACATTGTTTATATTCACATGAACTTGAATATCACCACACCTTGTGTTTAGTTTGAAAATCCCTTATACTAAAACCAACCTTGGAGGCATCACAGAATTTTTACCTTGATACATAGAATTTTTTGTGAACTCCACTAACGCTAAGAATGACAAGATAAAAGAAATTAGTATATGAAATGTTTGAGATTTTTCAAGATAAGATTATTGGGTTTAATAAAATTACTGGTTTATTCTACAACTTCGTGATGAGCTTTTATTTAAAAATAGTTTGGAATAATATATGACTATCTAGTATGCACATAAAAAATTTCTTTTGCAGCTCACACAATTCTACACATCGTTGTATGTTGGGAAAATAAGGCGCTAATTAAAAAGACTTAAGGTTTATAACAATAAGGTTAGTTCTAACAGAAGGAGCTAGTTTCTTGCAACACGACAAACTGGAATTCGAATCCTTTTGAAAGACGTGCTTACATTTAGCACACAACTTTTTAAAGGTGAAAAATTATGTGGTTATAATAATGTTTTCTAAAGTAGTGATAGCTAACAATTTTTTTTTTGTTGTTGTTCTGAGATAAGTTATGAACTAGCGCTGTCCAAGTTTTGCAATATGCGATGTCATTTTCTCTATATCTTATAAGATGCATGGAAGACCCATAGGTCAGATTCAGAACTTAGTAGACACAGAAGCATGCATGTTTATTTGCAGCCTTATGAATTATGATCAGTCTCTCTCTTCTCTCTCTCCATCTCATATACATATATACAACACACACACACATATATATATAGGTGAAAGCTGAGAGAATGAAAGCTCGGGCACAAGAGAGGCTAGCAAACAAAGTAGCGGCAACAAGGAGGGTGGCAGAAGAGAAGAGAGCTAACGCAGAAGCTAAGCTTAATGAAAAAGCTTTGAGGACTTCCGAAAGAGCTGACTACATCAGAAGGACAGGACATGTCCCTTCTTCTTTCTCTCTCCACTTTAAGTTCCCTTCCCTTTGCTGGTAGCATTCTATTGTATTCTATTAATATCAATATCAACTAGCTACTCCTACCACTACTAGCTACTTTTGTGTATCATTGCTCATCTTAATTTTACACTCAAATTAATTGCACATAATAATCTCTCACTCTTTTCTTTTGTTTATTTTTAATGCAAAAACACTAAATTCATGTCCATTTATTCTTCTCTCTCCGCAACTTGTATGTCTAGCGTGGAAACCTGTTATAATCATTATTATTGTTAAAACATTACAAGACCTGAGCGATGCACGGATGATATTACGTGGTCGTTTGTATTGTATAACTAATAAGATTTTGTTTATAAACTATAAATAAGGTCTTATAATTAGAGCACGGATGATATTACAGCTTTCTTCTCATGAAAAAATAGATGGAAAATATGCAAGTGCATGTTAAGGTAGCGGTGCAAATGAATCTGTTGTCGGCAAAAGAGACAAGATTCATTCATATTTTCACATGTTCCATATGTTATGCCTATTGGTGTTAAGTGAAAATTGACGCATTAGCTGACATTCTTGGGTATTTCTTCTGAACCCACCGCAGACTAGTTGTTGTGACATTAATTCTGAATTCAGACAAACTATGGAGAATTGAATAGAATGATTGTAGTGTCTTTCAAATCCAAGATATCCAATTTTATGTTATGATAGTTGCTTTTGACCAAAAAGAAAAATAAAAACTATTTTATTGAGGTTTGTTTGGTGGGCAGAATAGAATTTTATATGTAGAATTTTGTTGGTTAGGTATTCTTTATTTGAAGCAATGTTGTTTGATTACATGTTTCATTCTTTATTTCTCCCATAATGACAAATGGGGCTTGAGGTATAAAAATTAGACATAAAATCTTTATAAATGGCATCAACATTTCTAACTCAATGTTTGGTATAAGGGAATCAGATGGGAGGAGAATGAAGGAAAAATTTTAATGAGCTTGAAGTAAAAAATTTTACAACCACATTTTTCCAATTTTTTAAATTGGGTTCATTAAAATTATTTCTCTCCTCCCCTTCGGTCCATTTTTCTTATATCAAAGAGACCTTTGCTCAGAAATCAGAAAATTACAGATACAAATTGAGAACTAAGAAAAGAAATAAAACAAAAACCCTCAGCTGATAGCCCTCGGTCTCGGGCGTAAGTCGTTGGGCCAAGGAGGTCCTCGCACGCCCAATTAAAGGGATGGGCTCTTTGAGGGGCCCAAATGTCATATGACGCCCGATTTTTACAACGCATAATAATTAAGAAAAAAAAAAGGATTTTCCATTTTGCGCCGGACCGCGTGCCTCCTTTCTTTGCGTGGTCACGCCCCCTTTTCACTCTTTTCCGGACGAAGGTCGCTCTCCCTATCTCCCCGTCGCTTGCCTTTGTCGCTCTTTATCCATCAATTTGTAAGCCGTTTCAATTCGATAATCATTCCTTGTCGAGTGTGAGTATCGATGATTCTGGCTCCACCCTGTTAATTCTACAGTTTAATTTCTTTCATTTTTCGTCCTCTTTCCCTGGATAGCTTGAATTTCTAGGGTTTCGATCTGATCCTGTCTATCCCTGTCGATTTTAACTGCACAGTAGCGCCATCACATAACTTCTGATTATCTTCAAGGGCGTGGTTGTCTGATATCGAATTGTTGTCGGATATGACTTCGTTCGAAGTTAGGGTTTCTATTTGATTTACGCGTATTCGCGTTCCTCAAATTAGGAATTCCAGGCTGAATTCTCTGTGCTCTGGGTTTAGGTTTATAAGCAGAACATCTACGTCTGGTAGGAGAGGGATTAGCGGTTTTCTGTGCAAGTTAGCATTTAGGTATATATATGGCTGCTGGGAGGCATGGAGGCTATCGCGACAACGAATTTAGGGATCGTGAGTCCAGTATTGACGTCTCAAGGCGGGATTATGCTAGTTCTGAAGAAGATTACGATCGGATTAGGACTGGTAACCGCGATGGTGTGAGAGTTGTGAACAGGGATGCAAGAGATAGGATTAGAGTGAGACAGAAGGATATTAGGGAGAGAGAAGCGATGAATGGCAGCTACCGCTACCGCTCATCTTCTAGTAGGAGTGACTCGGGGAGCAGCAGTGTGGCCTTGGTCCCAGAAAATGTGGTTTTTCTGTCAAGGCAGCGGATAGGGAGCCAGGTGAGCTTTCCAGTGACAGCGGCTCTGATGAAGCTATTGAATCAGAACCACAGGGGAAAGGCTTTGAGGTTACAAAGGTTGAAAGGAATGGGACTCAGTCTCCATTGGAGAGGAAAAGAAAATTTTCACCCATAGTGTGGGATCAGGATGACAAAGAAGTCAGTGATTCACCCAAACTTAAGGTGTCCACGACTTTGACTAGTCTTCCTCCTCCACCACCACTACCAAAAGCATTCCGCCAGTCACCTAATGCTCCATATGGGGGAGTGGAGATCCATCCTGTTAACAATAGAGAAACTGAGACTCGTGAGTTGCCTACGGCAGTTAAACCTCCTCTGTCCTCTGAGTCAGTTCAGGATGTTGGTACTGAGTCTACTGTGAGAGCGCTTACTTCGTCACCAGATCAAAATTTGGGCAATGATCGGGAAGGTGAGCAGCCAGACGGTGATGACTATGTGCCTATGCATAATATATCGTCTTCAAGATGGGCAGCTGGGGATAACTCTCCCGGGGATGAAGGTGAAATTATAGATGATGGTGATGAATTTTCTAGAAAGAGGAAGAGGTTGTCACCTGAGTTAGTGAATGCCAGAGTGCGAAACAAGCTGTTGAGCCCAGAGGAATCAAAAAGAGATGGTTATGAAGGAGCTAGAGCTAAATCATCTGAGTCTGAAGAAAGAGATAGCCATGGAAAAATCTCCACTGGGGATGATCATGCTGGTATTGGATCTGATAAGGATGACTATATGGAAATTGATGTTCAAGGTGTGAAAAGTGAAACTACTGTTAGCCACTCAGATACTGCTTCTGAAGATGAAGATGATGGACGGGAGACTCCAGAGCCTCCAGGTCCACCACAAAGAGTTGTCAACATGCTCCAGGGTTGTAGAAGTGTTGATGAGTTTGAGAGACTGAACAAGATAGATGAGGGTACATATGGTGTTGTGTATAGGGCCAAAGATAAGAAGACTGGGGAAATTGTAGCATTGAAGAAGGTGAAGATGGAGAAGGAAAAAGAGGGTTTTCCGCTGACTTCTCTAAGGGAAATAAACGTTCTACTTTCTTTTCACCACCCATCAATATGTTGATGTTAAAGAGTAGTAGTAGTAGGTAGCAACCTTGATAGTATTTTTATGGTGATGGAATACATGGAACATGATCTTAAAGGACTAATGGAGGCAATGAAGCAGCCATTCAGCCAGAGCGAAGTGAAGTGCCTTATGCTGCAGCTTATAGAAGGTGTAAAGTATCTTCATGACAACTGGGTGCTTCATAGGGATTTGAAGACTTCTAACCTGCTTATGAATAATAGGGGTGAGTTAAAAATTTGTGATTTTGGGTTGGCTCGTCAGTATGGAAGTCCATTGAAAACATACACACATATGGTTGTTACTCTTTGGTACAGGTGAGTATTCTTGCTTAAATTTGTTACTTGTTCCTTTAATTTTCACATGTTTGGTGTGGAATTTCTTGGTTCCCATATTGTTGTTTGCTACTGAATGTTGAGACCATTGCCATTTTGTTATGTCTGTCACATCTCACGCTGATGAGGATATCCTGTTATTATTTTTCTGTTACCGGTTTTATTGCTGTCTGATTTAACGCGTCTGTTGCCGTGTTCTCTTTTAGAGTTCATCTACTTAATGATGCTCTATCTGTTTCTCTCAGGGCACCTGAACTTCTTCTGGGAGCAAGACAGTATTCAACAGCCATTGATATGTGGTCTTTGGGTTGTATAATGGCTGAGCTATTGTCCAAAGAAGCACTATTCAATGGGAAGACTGAATTTGATCAAATTGACAAGGTATGCTTTCCTAGTTAATTTCCATTTGTGCCTGCCAAGTTCTTGCTGTTATATTATCTTCCTTTTATTTTTTGCCACTGTTTTCCCAGGCTTCGAACTTTGGGTGGTTCTGGTCTGGCTATCTGGCCTCCCTTGGTGTGCATTTAAAAGTTAAACGACTTTGCTAGTTTGTATTAACTGCCCAATGTTCCCGTGGTTCAGGTCTTCCTCTGCGCAAAAAATTTCCTGCCACATCATTCACTGGATCTCCAGTTCTCTCTGATTCTGGATTTGATTTGTTGAACAAGCTCCTTACTTATGACCCTGAGAAGGTAAAAGGGTCTTGTACAATAACTTCCCAGTTTTATTTGGCAAATATTTCTATACTTTCATGGACTTGGCAACACTTTCTACTACGTGCAGAGGATCACGGTCTGAAGAAGCTCTCAATCATGAGTGGTTTCGTGAAGTTCCTCTTCCGAAGTCTAAAGATTTATGCCTACTTTTCCTGCTCGACATGCTCAAGAGAGGTAAGGACTCCTTGTATTAATAGTACCTTTCCCTCCCTTAACTAAACTCATTTTGACTAGTAGATGCTTGTTATGCTTCAATTAGGCGGACTCGGAGACTATTAACGAGTCCTGATCCTGGTTGAGGAGCAGCGTCGAAAGGAGTTACAGCAGGGTGAATTAGGGACTGGTGGTATTTTTGGCTGAGAATCATGCACTGTAAAGCTATGGCCTTGATAATCATTCTAACATGCTCCGCTGCTGACGTTTGCATGGATGAGGTGAGAGTGTGTACTGAGCGGAAGTTGCAAACATGTTAAACAATCACTTGTGCTATTTTTTAGCAGGCACTTGGGTTATGCGGAGAATTTGTGTTTCTTTACCTCTTGGGATTGATGGCCAAAGATACATCCTGGGATCCAGATTTCTTTCAGGTCAATTACCCTCCTGATTTGGCCATCATATATATGCACTTGGAGCACTGCCAGCAGCACAAGGTGTGGCATAGCTGCCTTATTTTAAAATAGGAAAAGTCAGTTTTTGCTGAAACTTGTGTATGTAACCATATTCGTTTCCATTCTCATTGTAAACGGTTTTTATCTGATTTTGTGAGTATTAAAACAGTATGGAATTTCTAGCTTCTGTCTTTTCTGTCTTCAATATTAATATGTGCTGATTTTAGTATTAAAACAGTATGGAATTTCTAGCTTGTCTTTTCTTTCTTTTTTTAATATCAATATTGTGTTTGCAAGAGACGGTTGGTGTGTGAAGTGGAAGAGCGCCTTCTTGCATTTCACTGAAGAAGAAATTGACAGTAACATTGTGCCTGAAAGGTAATTTATTCCTTTAATATCTCGGATATTAAGGGATGGGGGTATTATTTTTGTCGATGAGGTATATAACGCCCACGTGCGCTTGTTGTTTGCATGGGCACCTGGTAATGTTGTTTAATTGAGTGATGGTACTCAAACAACGAACCATATTGGTTGATGATTACAGTTCTGTCTGAGAAGTGTGGGTCGTTGGCTCTGTACAATGTAAAACTGGCTTGGTACCTAGAATTTTTCTTATCTTTTATGTGTAACAATCTGGCTGAGGATTGTCAATGTCACAAGACTGCTATTTGTGCCGAAGTCACTAATTGTATATGGCATGATATCATGGATTTGGTTCTGTGTAATACAATTTTTATTGTTATGTAGAAGAAAAGGCCAGCTCCTTTGGATCCTATTCCTGAGTTTCCTTTCTGGAAACTATGACTGGCCATCAATTTTATTTCTTTTGTGCGCAAACTGATGATACATTAGCAGGCAACATTGTGAGATGAGTTGATGGGGGGGGAAAAGTTTATATGCATACAGAACGTTTGAAAATTTAAGACAATGCAAGAAGGACTGAGTTGGGCTTTCTTATGTGTGCTACTGGGGGCCTTCGGTTTTGAGCTTCTGTGTGGTGCACTTTCCCCTTTTTCTCCTGTCAAGAGAATTTGCTGACTAGGATATTTATGGAGGACAGCTGTTTCAAATTGTGTCATGCTATTGTCTACTGTCTATTGTCTGTTATATTTTAAACAATGCCTTCAAGTGGCTTTTGCTTCGAGAAATATTGCATTCTTGGAATCGGATAAACAATGAAATTAATTCTTCAGATATGACTTATTTTTGCACTCTATGGAATGGATAAAAAATGAAATTAATTCTTCAGTTATGACTTGTTTGGAATTTTAAGTGTGGTTGGCTACCAGATTCCAAAACCCGTTTTTCCATTTGTAAAGTCTAGTTTCCTGAAAGTAACTTTTATTCCATTTGCAACCCAAAATTTCGGGTTAAAATTTCCATTATACAAAGTCAGTTGAGTCCACCCAAACAGCAAATAAGAAAACCCTGTAGAGAAAGTCACTTTTAAGTCTTCTAACCGGGAGCGAGGGATATTGGATTTCTGGCTCCCTTGTTCTTGGCCTCTAATATCCTCCTGGGAAAAAAGAAAAATAATTGTGGGGTTGTATAATATTTAATCAGTTACATGGAGCTGAACTATTTATACATGGTGTTGCTGATTGAATGTGATGTGAAGATCATAATGATCATTTTACTGAATTTTTTTATTTCCTTTTTTTTTTAATCGTTAATCTTTATCATAATTTTGTTTTAATTGGACCAGTCATGAGCCTTTTCACTCATTTTTGTTCTTTGGCGCTTTGCCTGGATATAAAATTGCAACTTTTGTTGGCAGTTTAGCCTTAAGTGAGGTCTTCATCTAAATGAAGCGCCTATACTATGAATTTCTTGAATTTGCTACTCCCCAGTTGTTGCCTGTTATTTGTCTGTTGTTTGATTAGTTTTTTCCCCATCCATTCAGGATCCTTTAACTACATTGGTTTTCATCTTCCTTCCCTAAGACCAAACAAAATTGCCGCTTCTTTGGAGTATATCATCCATGTGTATTGCATGTCAAAGAATAAATTGATTGGAATATTCTTAGAAGAATTGAAATGAAATGAAAAGAAAGAAACTGTTGTCATTTATAGTAATGGAAAATTGAAGCTTTGGCTACTATAAGAATTATTTTATGACATTTGTCTGCGGATGTCACTGCAGTATCAAAGCACGCAGGTTGAGGAAGTTACTCGTATACCCTGGATATATAGAACATCAATTAGTTGTTCCTTCAGGCTCTCAGAGGTACTATACGAACTTTGGTTTGTCATAATATATTTATGAAGTTCTTGTATAATCTTGAGATTAGAATTGCTCCTTTTTCTGTGCATGCCCTATCAGTCGCATTGTTTAAATAGTATCGCTATCGCTTTGAGGTCTCTTGTGATCGTACTGTGGTTTAAAACTTTGAAGATGGTAGGGTGGGGGAGGGTTGGTTGATTCGTATGGAATGAGCTATGTTGCCTTATCCTGGCTATATATGGTGAGGTGAGGGAGGGTTGGAACATTTTTTTCTAGCTCCAAAGCATCCTCGTTGTACTTATTTAATTCAATTTAGGAACATGATGGTAATATTCATTGTTTAAAATAGAAGATGGTGATCCGTCTGTACCCTGCAATTTGTGCAGAACAAAATATATGGAATGATAGAAGAGCGTCCTCACAATTAATAGACCCACTTATTATATAACTGCTCCTCTTTTATATGCATCCTTCAAAACAAAGTTCCATCTTTGTTTGGTTTGATGGTGCTGATATAGTGAAAAATGTTTTTTTTTTTTTTTCCTGTCGATGAATCTCGCCGCTAGGACTAATTATCTTGGGAAGCAGAGTCTTGTCAATCAAATTGTGGTTGATATCTGTAATATATCATTTTAGATGCTTGAAGTATTTTTCATGTTTTTAATAAAAGGAGCCGATATCCAGATTGTTCTTTTTTACTGAAATTTTGAGGACATTGTTTTTGTAGTGTAGAAATAAAATGTAAAAATATTTAGCTATCAATCATGCTTAGAATCATGTTTAAAGGGATACATACATTAAAGAGGACTTGTTGCTTTGACGAATGATGATGTCTTGTCTAAACTTTGTGTACCTTTGGGTATCATGCACATCTCTTGCGTTGTGCATATGCATAATTGTGTGGGATGTTGCACACCTGTGAGCTGGGTTATGGTAGAGATTCAAAGCATTCAGGGATTAGTTTCTCATTAATATGATTTCAACTTCTAGTTGCCTCTTTCCTGAACTCACAATGCCTTGATTTAGGCTATTATTGGGAGTGACCTTAATTTACCTCCCCAGTCAGAAATGATTGCATGACAATGCAGGTGCATTGCAATTAGTGTCATGACTGTTAATTGTTCAGGTAGATCAAGTTGAGAATAACGGGACAATTCGCAGAGAAGTTTTTTTTAAATAACGTCAACTTTCTGAAGTCTTACTGCTAATATGTATAGTTTTGATTTTATTAATTGGTGGTTCGTTTTTTTTTTTAAAACTTATTTTTGGTTCTAACATTTTGCTGTTGCTATTGGGATGAGGTGCAATCCATCTGCATGTGATGCCAAATTCCAATGAGAGCTTGACCCGCTTTATTACGAACATTCTTCCTAGCATGTCAGCGCGTAACATGGTTCATGCGAGGTAGGTTGATGACTCGCAGTTGTACATAATTGTCAGTTTTTGGTCGGTCAATTGAATGTATACTTACTATATTGCCGCACCAACAATCAAACATACAATGAAAGTTGAAATGTCGAGAGACGCTGAAGTTTATTTTGTTCATGGTCCCGACATCATGGGGTTTGTTTTGGATGAGGAGAATAAATGGCTTTGTTTTGCCTTTATGGATATAAAAAACCAATATGGGAATTCTAACATATATGCAGAGGGGCTTACGTACCAATTAAACTGAACTGGAGCGAGTGATATTTGCCGTGTGTAGGATTTTGAGGTGATCTCAAGTAAAATTTCTCGTCGGCAAGAACTGGCGGCTAATGTATCATTGATTTAAACAACCTATATGAATTTGATGTATGCTAAATGAACTCATTCCACAACGAGGGTGGGGCCGGCCCAGTGAAATGGAAAGATGACAAGGGTCCGTTAGTAAGGGGGAAATGAAGGGAAGGCAGGAAAATTTTTGCGAGCTCTATTAAGAAATTTAAAGTATAATTAAAAGCTTTTGTCTAATTTATTTAAATTCAGTATTAAAACCTTTTCTTTTCCCTCCAGTTGCCTTGTGCCTAAAGGAATGACTTCACTTTCCTCTTCTTCACAGCTACTTTTAACGACGGTAGATTGCAACTCCAACGAATGATGGTTATTGTAATTTGAACTTGGGTATAATTTGGTCTCCAGTTTTGGCCCAAGAATTAATTCGGAAATGAAATATCAGAAACATTTAGTTTAATTTAAAATTTTACATAAAATTAAAATAATACTATTAAAAGTCTCCATATTAAATTTAGTACACGGAAAATTTTTTTCAAAAGCATGGAATCAACTAAAGTCTACAAAAAATGCGAATAATAAAAAATAAAAAAAAAAAATCCTTGGTGGGCCTAGATGCTCTCTCCAATATGTGGTCCGGTGTGGTAGGTCGCCTGGTCCACGCTTCGTCTTTTATGGAATAACTGGAAACCAATTGGACTACACTTCACCCCTATCCGAAGTCGAAGACCTGCAAAACTTTTTTTTTTTTTTTTCCAGTGGGCTTCCTGTGATATCCTTTTGGCAGTCTGCCCCTGCCTCAGTTTTGACTGTGGAAATCACTTTTTCACACGAAGTGATTCTCGACCAAAAGATGACAAACGATGCCCGCCCGCTGATACATGTTTACAATATGCATCATAATATGGTCTTGCCAAGAATGTAACCACCGCGTAAGTTCCAGGAAAAATATTGTGTTGACAAGGGACCGATCAACTACCCATCCAAATATAGTGATTCCTCCAGGATTCGTTTGTAGATACATCACTGCATATTAAGGGTACAACATGAAGCCTCTTAAAAGTCATTGACAGTTTTTAATCACGCTAGAGAAGAGAATTTGCCAATTTCAAAATAGATGCGGAAAACAGCATAGAGGCAAGTCTGATAGAAGATCAAGCATGACTACGTAAAAGAAACTTTCGCGAAGGAGTTAAAGAGGTAAAAAGGATCAGAAGTAGTACTTTCGCAGCAGTGATTATGTAAAATTATCAACTAATTAGCATTTGCAATACTAATCTTCACTGCTTGGGGGTTGTATGACGTGTCCCTCAACTCACTAATGAAAATAACTGACTAGAGAAATTCAACACTACAGATATAGGCTGTGGTTAAGTTACTTACCAAAAGCTTGTCTCTTGTGATGCGAGGACATGTAAGAAGCAAGTTGGCTATTCGTAGGCACCACGTTGAATTCCAAAGATTCTAGATCACTTTCAGAGGAATTGAAATGTAAAGAATTTAAATGGTTTGCAGGCTCCAGGCTCCCCGCACTAGCATAACTTCTCAGTGGAGACGCATCAGAAGTAGTGCATGTGGCTAGAGCATGCCATCTGCTCGCAAGTGAAACAATGTTTTGAGCTCTATGAGAAATCCTTGTTGCTGCGTGCAGACAAATAATGATTCCAACAACCTGAACAATTGTAGACACCTAAAAGAAAATGAAACATAAAATTCAGGTGGAAAGCTCGAGGTCTTTAGTCAAAGAAGAAAGAAACAAATGACTGAAGTATGGCTGGTTAAAATAACCACGAAATTTGAAGTTCTTCAAACTACATGGAAATTGATGGGAACGTTAAAGCTTGAACTTACAGCAAAATCTCCACCATTCGCGAAAGTAATTAATCCACTAAATGCCGTGACTTGTATCAGAGTGACAATTTGGCTAACTGTAACAACGAAGAATCCTAGAAGGAGATAGATTCTAAACCTATGGCTTATCTTGGAGAGATGATAGCGTAACCGAATGTGCTCCTCCATGAAAATGAGCACATTAGCATCCCTTTGTATGAGCTTCGCGTAATCATCGAAGTGGATAACTTGCAAGTTGCAGATCAAGTGAAACAAAATGCTGGCCAATAGAGAGATTGTACTCACATAAGTCCAGGATATGATCAAAGCTACTGAAACAGCAAACGAAGGCCACCATGACTCGTGATTTACGTGTGAAAGGCGAATGATTTCTCTGATAGTCTTCAGAAAGAAACATGTCGAACCCCACAGAGCAAGCAACCGAAAAGATTCCTAAGGCCAGAGAAAGCATTTTTAGCATTGCCTGACAAGGCTAAGAAACAACAGAAGGGCATCGAAGTGAAAGAGAATTAGAAATTGAGCTCTGGTTTTTACCATATCTAGAAACTCTAAGAACGTGAAATCGAAAAATGACGGTTATTCACATGATTTAGGCGATACGTTTAGCAAACAAACTGGGTGACACTTAGTTGATCAAAATCTGACAACGACTTGGTCTTCTTCAAGTCGCAAGCATAGTAACATAACACAGAAACTGATACAGTGGTATGCTGATACCGATAACAAAACTAGGGATAATCGACTAATCAGATCATGATTTATGCTTCTTCAGATATTAAATGTTCATATGGAATTCATCAATTCAGATACTCGCAGCGGTATTAGCTATTGAATTATGCTTTCTATTTAAATAATTTAAAGCGATTTCAATACACCTCCGCTGGAGACAATGAATAAGAAATTCAAGATTCCAAATAAAATGACAGCACGAAAATAGCAAATAGCTTAGAAGCTTGAATTTGCTCACCGAAACTTGTTTGATGTAACGTTCGTGTAAGCTCATCAATCTTCCACTGTACCGATCAACAAAGAGGAACCTCCTTAAACCATACTTGCGCAGATTGTGAGAGAGGCAGAGCAAGGAGACGGCAGCGAGACACGCCTGAAAGGCAACGATTTCTACCTCGAAATTCTTCCGTTGATACTCCTCGCAATCGGTGCAGTCGCCAACGAAGAGCACCACCAGCGGAACTACCACGCCGACCACCAGGAAAGAGGTCCAAGACAGAGCAAAACTCAACCACGACGACTGCTCGAATCCAATCAATGCGAGAAACGTTTCTATGCGACTAAGCATCCGATCCAGCTGAGTCTCTTCCGGTTCGTTGATCATCTCCTTGCCTCTGGCCGCTTTGTCCTGCTTCGACGTCGTTTCGATTCGACTTTGGGGTGACTAGTGGAGTTTGAGCATGAGATTGCTCCGTTCGGACAAGGAGATCAGAAGCCATGGATTTACTGTGTTTAAGGCATTTCCAAATCAGTCAGCGATTCGGAGGAAAAAGGGTGAAATGTGCTAGCGCTGAATTAAATTGATAGCTTATCGATATTCTCAAGGTCAAACGCACCAGAATTCGCTAAACTGATTGATTTCCTTCTTCGGATTGCGTTTCTTGAACGATAACGAGAACAAATAAGCGTAGTGAGGAAGTCTTAATCATGGAAAAGGAAAGAAACTAACCATAAGACGAACCCCGATTTTCACACAGGAAAAAAGAAAGAAAATAAAAGAAATTATAAGATGCTTGCGGAATCGGAAATCACAAGATTGCGATCTTTCATCATTTTTAATTCACGACGCGTGGCACTTCAAATTTATTTTCCTGATGTTGTCCGAATTATTCTCTTTCGGATCTAAATATAAAATTATTTTTATGAATAATTTACACTAAAAAAAGATTTTATATTTAGAACTGAGGGGTATTCTTATTTTTCGTTTAAGTATGTTTTTATCTCATGTATTGTAGTGTACTTCAGAAAAATAACTTTTCTGATTTAATAATTTGATAAATTTTGCAGTGGGATATTATATGGATGATAATGTGCGAGTGACATAATCCGTTGCTTTTGTCATCATGTCTAGGATCTCTCTTTTTTTTTTTTTTTTGACCGGAGATGTCTAGGATCTCTTTAAACTCAGAAAAAAGTTGATTCTATTGAAGAATACAAATGTTATATAGTTTTCCTTTTTTTGGTTTGATACACTCCGAGTGTTTTTATGAGCAATTAAAATTCTACTCCTGGCGCCAGGGATAGGAATATTTGTCTTAATATACATGATTAGAAAATGTGTTTACTTTGGATTTTTACTTGTTTAATATTATTTAGCATTTTAATTTCAAACTATATATTACTTATGATTTTAATAAAATATTTATTTATTTATTATTAATTATCTTTTATTAACAAAAACATGATAGGAATTAAAAACAGGAAAAATCCCAAAAAAATATTGTTAAATTTCAAAATTTCAAATCATGAATTATTATAAAAATGTGTTGTCATTTGCTTTTCAAATATATCAATTTTTTTATGAGTGTAGTAATCAATACTGTTCAGAATTTTAAAATTAACTATCATTTTTTTTGAGATTTTCTTTTAAAAATATGTTCAGTATTTGGTATAGTACATGAAAAATGTTTTGGAAAAAATAGAGACTCCGAAACAGAGCACAGTATTCACATGAGCACTAAAGTAAGTATAAATAGCAGGGGACAGCGGCGATTTTGATGGTGAGGTCTCGTTCGTTGTAATTGGCGAGCCTGGCCGACCTTCCTGATGTATCAGCCCCATAATCCAATAGGTAATAAAATACGTCTCTATTATAATTATAAGAGTTATTTATAATCTATAAATAAAGATTTTATAAATAGAACTAGACATAGTGATTCAATAAAAATAAAAAAATTACAATCAAGTCTAAAAAAAGAAAATAATTACTAACAAATCCTGTTTGTAATGACAAATTTTAGAGCAAGCAATAATAACATCTAAAATTTGTTTTGTAATTATTTTTCTTTTTTTAAGGACCTCATTGTAATTCTCCTAAAAATGAATATCACATGTAAACCTATATATTTATATTATAATCGTTGGGGTATCTATGTTCCATAAAATCCTAATTTTTTTTGCCAGCAAATTCTAATTCTAAATAAATACTTATGAATTTGGAAATTATAAATATACATCTTTTTATGGGGGCTAATTAACATGCTTGAACTTTGCAACTAATTATTATTGTACCTCTCTCACTCTTAATATAAGAGTTGTTTGCCTGTTTCATTAATTTGTTGAGATTAGAAAATATATATAAATTATTTAATTCTGACAAATATGACATGATATCTTTAGAATATTTATATATTAATCTAAAAATTAGATAATAATTTAAAAAATAAAAATATTAATATTTTATATTTAAGATCAAAACCAACACTTACGTTCTTGAAATATAGAGTCGGAGGATTATAAAACTTGAGGGAAACATGCAAAAATTGACTGTTTGGGTAGACTCCCTTTCGCATCTTTTGTGGGAAATAAAAGCGGCTGGAAAATGTTATGTACTTCGAATCCCTTGCTCACAAAACTTTGGACTTCAACAAAATCACAAAAGAGACATTTGAAGAATGATTTGTCCTATCGAGTGAAATGAATATCTTGGAATTTTTCCTTTTATTTTTTTGGCAAGTTGGCCTCATGTGCTGTCGTTTTAATTTGATAATATGCCTTCATCCAATTAGTTTTTTTCTTGGTAAAAAAAATTATTTTTTAATTTTTTAATGCCTTCATAATAATAGTCGGGTCCCACTTACGAGTAAATGCGACAGCCGTAAGATCTATTCCACAGGAGAATAGAGGAATTATTGGTTCCCCACTTCCTCACTGCTCAATCTCATCGGTCAAAACCAACATTATACCACCCCAAGCAAATGACTTCAGTATGGCAATTGGCAAAACATACTTGGCCGAAAAAAAGGGGAAAGAAATAGACCAGTCCGGATTACGGTCGACAAAATAAAATAAATAAATAAAATTATGAGATGCGTGAAAATGACTATACGCATATGAAAATAGCTAATATAAAATATAAATTCTATATCATTCCAACACCAAACATGTAAGGACAAGGATTGGAAATTTAAAATTCGGCTGACATACCGACAGCTAACAGCTACCATACCAAAGGCATTAAAAAAACAGAAAATTCTGCAAATTGCGAAATATTTTTTTTTTAACGTGTATCTCGTTACCGAGCCTAAAAAACAAAATAATAATCAGTGCATTGATTAATTAAAAAAAATTAAAAATAAAATAATTATAATTATATATATGATCTTTTAAAAATATTTATATTATACTGTTAGATTATATATCAATTTATAAGTTAACAAATTAGTTTGAAAACAACAATAAATATAAATTCTTTCAATAATTTATTTGGTTTTTTTAATTTTCCAAATTGATCAATTGGATCTTATATTAAAAATCAGAGAAGCAATAATTTTTATTTTTCCTAAAAAGTGTTTCCCAATCCTATTTATAAATTACTTTCAATATATCATACTAAATTTAAGAAAATACTTAAACATTTAAAATTTAATAACTTCTCAATTTTATCTTTATTTGATTTATACACTTTCCAAAAAAATAACAATCTACATGATAATAAATAAAAATAAAATAATGCAATATTTTAAAAATATAACGGCGTAATTTATAAATAAGGGGAAGTACGATTTTTTGCTATGTTCACTACTTCCCTTAAAATGCGTCAACAATGTATCACATTATAATTAAACAGCAAAATGAACTCCTTGCAATCATATAGAGGGTATCTCAGACAGGCGAAGCAAAATTTGCATTTTTCTAAAAAGAACTATTGTGCAATGATTGGTCCATTCGTCGGACCTTTTCATTTCCAATTTGCTTCAAAGGGACCACGCCTGTGCAACGCTTCCTGATCTTAGTTCAAGCTAACCATCTCAAATTCACCAGCAAATGTAGTCCATCTTAGTTTCACGTACTTGAAAAATGGACTAACAGATAACTTCAATCATTCTCCGCTATCTTCTTCATTGCTTCCTCTTCAAGGGGACTAAAAAGAGATGAGCCACTTGAACCAATTTACCTGAGTAGCATTAAGCCCCCTTATGCATACTGTGCATAATCTTCCAAGGCTTACAAGAGATAGGAAGCTGCTTGAGGATGATAGACATGACAGAGCACAGAAATGGATTCACCAGTCTCAGAACTCAGGATCTCAGATCATACTGGGTCAGTATAACAGCTAATCTGTTTCTCAAACAAATGATCAAACTGCCAATCATGTCAAAATCACCACCATCTCCTGGCAATCATTTCTTGCCTTTGCGAGCAAGAAATCGTTCTCTAGCAGCTTGGATTCTGCTTTCACGGTCATCAGGAACTGCAGCAACATCGGCATCCTTCTTGGGCAAATCTGGGGCTTTTTCCTCAGTTTCCTCCTCGATATGACCAAGTCCACCACTGCTTCACATAAAAGATTACAAGTAGAATCAACTGTGAGCATGGTCCGTAGGAAAAGGAACCAACAATAATCACATGCAAACCTGTCAATTTTTTTTTTTGTTAAAAAAAAAAAAAAGGTTGCAATTTCAACGAACAAACTAACCTTAGTTTGCGCACATCCAAGGTCTTGAGCTTGTTGATAATTGGCATAACCCATCTCATCTCAACAGAACACACATTTCTCATGTATGGACGTGGAGTTGCAATTAGCTCATGGTACACAACGTAGTCTGGGAACTTTCCCAGATCATCCGATTTAAGCACAGAGGATGGATGCACCTACAAAGAAAGTTTTGGGTCATTGATGTGTCTATGTATTCAGTATGAGGTCGAAAATTACCGAGTAGGAGGATACCATTTCACCTAGCAGGGTTGATTATTAGAAGATGGATTTCAAGTGCAGGTGTTGAAGAAGAAATAACATCAACGGAAATAGATGAAATGGCAAAGGAAAACAAGTGATATGTATCGCAAGCTCGCAAGTCGCAACAACAACTCAGTCTAAACAGCATTAATACCTGAACTACTTGGGCTTTAAAACCCAGAGTTCGATAACCATTATGATGAAGCTTCCTTTCAGCCAGCTGATTAGCATAGCCTACACACAAGGACTTCCTCAAATTTTTATAACCGCTTCTCTTCACTTTTTCCATGTGCTCGTACATCCAGTGGTCCTGTTGCAGAATAATATCAACAGGAAAAACGCAATTGCTAACAACTAAGAATTGACTAATTTTTTTATAAAAAAAAAAAAAGACAAAAGGAGAGTACAGCTGGAACCACAAAACATCGTGCATCTCTTTTTCTTTTTTCTCCTACTTTCACCGGGAAATAAATTTCACTCAGTAACATTCAAAAGACAAAAGGATACAATGGATTCGCAAGTCAAAACAAGGGCCGAATTTGTTAACCATGCTGCAAAACTACTCAAGCAATAAACCCCCTCCCATACAACACCTAAAGTTACATGAGTTAGGGAACAAACAATGTTTTTTGACAACTCTTGTAACTTCCATAATAAATTATATAACCCAATAATCCCTCATTTAGCTTTTAATGGTCTGTCTGATGATCTTCTGGACAAAAGTGCCCTCTAGGACTAGTACAAATAGAGCCTGTGCATTGTGTTTGAAATCAAGCAAGAATAATAATTTCCTTTTCTCAAGTTGAGAGTGCCAGAGAAATACATCCGTTGACATGCAAGAACAAAGAGATTCTAGTATAACTCCCCAAGAATATAGAATACAAACCCTTCGCTATTTTCTGCATTATCTGGGATAACTGTTTACGAACATCTTTGACAAACACCATCCCTCGCACCTGTAATCAGTTACTTCTGATAATTATTAAAACAAGCGTGACAAGGAAACATGTCTAGAATGCGTTTCTTCTTTAATGGAAAGGATTTTGCTCAAGAGAGCTGGACTTCGGAAAAGGTTGCGCTATCCACTGTTTAATCATCTCAAAATGAATTATGTTACATATTTTGAAGATCCAACAGCGGAAGAGCTCAACCTCCTCTGTATTGCATTGCCCTAATGAAATCTGAATATGCACTTACATGAAGCACTACAGAAGAACCTCTCTCTGAGAAATGCAATATGTTTTTTCTTTTAAATGCTACTACTATGTTTATCGAATGGTCAAAATATAACACACAAAACAAGGGGAGCACTAGCCTTCCCAATAAATATTACTTAACTACTGGAGTTTATTGCAAGAGCCTAACACTGAACCCATCAGTCATTTTAGGCGTGCCGGAATCTATTAAGGGTACCTGCAAGTCATTGTCTTTGCACCAACCAATGTCATAATCAGTCCGATCCCAGCACTCAAAGATCTGCAACAACTGAATGTGGTCACCAAAGCCAGAACCATCAGGAAGGCTGGGCATGGTGTGTTTCCTCTTTTTCTCAGTCTTGCTGCGCATAAATGGAAAGATATGAAAGCTCAGTTATTAAGTCCTTATTAATTCATGATTGAATAAATCATAGAAACAGAGGAATACAGACTAGATTTTTCTTAGCATATCTGCTAAACCCACCAGTAAAATTTTTTTTCAATGTTTACAAAGAATAGAGTGAAAATATTTTCTAAATGATATGATCATATATAAAAGAAATTTCAGATAACTCAACCTCCGCCCTGATAACAATGATGTTTCAGCTGATAACATGGCAGCAACCGTCAAAGCTTGGGATAAGCAACCACAATTATTTGCCTCCATTAAAGTTCTTGACAGAGAAGGCTCTAACGGAAGCTCTGTATAATGAAAGAGGAAAAATCACCGAGTTCAGAGCATATAGAATAATAAGAATATTTGAGCAAAATGATGGAGAAGGAAGGATGATATTTTGTTTGCACTAAGCACATTTTCCATTGCCAAGAATAACTGAAACACACGTAGATAACAATACTGGTAATAACTGACAATATATGCAGAAAAGAATTACATAAATGGAATTGGATATCAAGATACTGTTCAAGTTGACATGGCATAAAACTTCAAGATTATTCATGCAAAACCTCAATATAAACATCTAAAATTCAACGAAAGAAATCTAGTACCGGCCATTTTTTGTCCAACGTTTGTTATTTCTCCATTTTCATCAATAGCATCAATCAGATATAACTGCTTCAAGGCATCTTCTAAAGCCTCAGCTGCAACAAATCCAATCAACAAATCAGAGCAAAGCCCGTTCAATTAACTAACTTCAAGGATCAAGAATATCAGAAGTTGAGAACCATCTAATGAACACGACATGCTTAAAAGTTTGAGATCATAAGACCAAAGATGAGACCCAATAAGAATACATTATAACTGAGAATTTTGCAAGTCAAAATCCGAAAATTCTTGGTACTTAGAAACATTTTTAGAAATTAGTTGGGTTTGCTATTTCTGGTAGATTGATATAACCAAAATTGCGACATAATGATAAACAGCTCAGTTGAGATTAAAAAAAAAAAACAAGAAGAAGGAGAAGACGACGACGACAAAAAAACAGAAAGCCAAAAGAAAAAAGAACTGAATCTTTTCACATAACCGGAAGATGAGAAGACTTTCAGGGAGCAGGTTCTGAATTTCAGTCTTGAAGGAGTTTAACTGTCCTTACACCAAAAATTTATAATATTTTTAACAAAAAAATTTCCTCACCTGAAGGGGAATCAAGAAAATCAAATTTGAGGATGTCAATATCTGGGAGGTCCAATGACTTCAAGTAAAGAACACAGCCAGCAAGAGAAGACCGCTGTATTTCAGGAACTGTAACATCTAAGAATTCATCGTCATAAACTCTAGAAGGGTACAGGCGGTAGCATTTCCCTGGACGTGTTCGTCCAGCCCGTCCTGCACGCTGACTAGCCTGCACTCTGCAATGTCACAAATTACTTTAAATCATTATTAAGTTCATGAAATTTGTGTCAACTTTTAAAGAAAAGTGGCAATGATTAACACAAAATGTTTTTCTCTAGCAGCTTCGAATTAATCTAATGGCTCTTATGCACCTAGTAAGCATGAACAATCTTCTTAAAAAAATAATAAAAATCCAATTTCTTTCTAACGTGAAGTATTACATCCATTTTTTTGAGATCAGATGTATTATATCCATTATTTGAGCTACAACGAGATATGCAATTATTGGCTGCTTACTTGCTAATCTGGACGACATCAAGCGAATACATGCCAGTTGATGGATTGTACTGCCTTTGCTTTACATACCCAGCATCGATAACATACCTAAAATCCACAAGATTACATAAGAAACCAACCATAGTAAATTTATGTGCCTGATGTAAATAAAAGAGGAAAGTGCTGTTATTGTCGTCTCATAAAAATGTAGCTTTGAGCTATTTGGTTCTAAAGTTAGCCAACAAATGAAATAATATTTGAAAGCTTCAATATACAAAAATTGAAAATAAAGTATGATTTGGAAGAGAAGTTAAAATGTATTAGGAAGAGTGAGAATTTAATTAACTCCCAACTACATTTTAATTATGTGATTTTAAAATATAAAAAATTGTTGGAATAAAAAAAAATTAAAGTGACCAGTGAATTATAATGGAGGCATTCCAAACATTTCTACCATTGTGGCCGAGATGAAAACAAATGGCCTACAGAAAAATAAAAGCATCTGTATTGTTATCATCATCATTGAATTCACCTTGAAAGTCATATGTGGATAGTCATCAAAGTATGCATGTCATTAGTTAAGCATTAATAGTCAAACAGTTTAAGTAACAGTATCCATACACTACACCATCAACAGTCAAGGAAGTTTCAGCAATATTTGTTGCAACAATAATTCGCCTGCAATTTGGGGGTGGAGAACTAAACACACGCACCTGCAACATCACACCACAGATAATCAGCCATTAAAGTGTACCAGACCTCAAAAATGTTCGATTATATGTGATATTTTTCCCAGATTAAGAAACTTAAATGTTTTTCAACCTCAATTGCATGCTAAGAGAATATATCTGATGAATTATTGTGAGGAAAACAAGATAAAAACAAAGACGAAAAAATGAGAAGAATAAATTATTCTAGAAATAGTTGCAGGTTTGATCAGTCAAGTTTGCTGCTGCAGAGAAAGAGATAGAGCACGTCACACAAGTCCCAACAGCAGAGATACTCTATGGAAGAATATCTGTTTATTTCCAACACTGATATTCACTTTATAGGAGCTTGAGATTTAATTTAATGTATTATTTTATCCCACCTTCAATTAAAACATGCATTCGTTTGGGGAAAAAAAAATCTCTTAGGAATTTGATTCAGTAATTAGCGATGGCATTCTTCACTCCCAAGCATGTTTTTCAACTAGAAAGATTAAAAATGCAAAAAAACTTGCCTGCATTTCAGGTGGCAAAGAACCATGTAGGGGAAGGATTATAGCATCCATGCAAGAACCCTCCTCAAGGGACCGAACTTTATCTTCTAACTTGGATACTAACTTTTCTATATCATCCTGCACAAGGATCATGAAGACTAGTTCAATCGCTACATGATATATCATAAAATTAAACTGTAGAACAGCAAGTTAAAGGGTGAAATCCACATAAAAGAAAACTACCTGCCCAGTCATGAATATCAAAATATCACCTTCTGGTTGCCTAACATGTATATCTGTAACACCAACACCGCATTATCAACTGAAAATAGAAATTACGATTTTAGGAAATAATAAAGCTGAAATGGAATGTGTACAAGTCAAATCAACACAAAATGACATTGTCTTCTAACCTTTTACTCGAGAAGCTACTGATTATTCAATCAGTAAAGAAGCTAAAAGGAGGGAACATAGTTTTTCCGCATCCATATGAATATGGAAATTTCACATTCAAATGTAAAACATATCCCTCTTAGCTGGTCCATTAGTCCATTTAGAACAATTTTAACTACCATTGCCCTCTTTATAAATTTTAAGAACCATGAAGATGCATTTTGGCTGCATACCGATTGAAATTTATGTCATACCAATTGCTTTTTTCAGAGAAGACTCGAGATAGCTTGAAGGACGTTCAGTGCTATAAAATATCTCCACCGGGTACAACTTTCCTGGAATGGTCAATATGGGGCAATCTGAGAAGAACTTTGATACTTTGTCACCATCAAGAGTTGCTGACGTGACCAAAACTTTTAGATTAGAAGCACGAAGCCTAACTAAACGTTTCATGAGCCCCAGCAAAATATCCCTGACAATAGTCATTCAAACCACCAATTGCATGGAAAAAAAAAAAAAATGAATCAATTAGAGTTTAGAGACAACATTGTCCAACATTTACACGTGAGAATTCTATAAGGATTTTTAAAAAATTCGAAAGTAAAAGTAATCTTACGTATTTAGGCTCCTTTCATGAGCTTCATCCAATATAATTACAGAATATTGATTTAGCTCGGGATTAGCTAGACTTTCGCGAAGAAGAACTCCATCAGTAAGGTATCTAAGCAGATCACAACCATAAATTTAGAAACCCAATAATATATATTTTTTAAAAAAAGTAATACAGAACTCAAAGGCCACCAAAGCAAGCTAGATGACATTACTTAATACGTGTGTTATCTGAAGTTCTGTCCTCAAATCGAATGGCATATCCAACTTCGTCACCAAGCTGAACGCCAAGCTCTTGTGCAACTCGTCTACGGACATCAAACAAAAACTTTGGTCATCAATTGTTGGGTCACCATAACATTGGACACAAACTTTTGAGCAGCCCATACCTGGAGACAGAGACAGCGGCGACCCGCCGGGGCTGCGTGACGCCGATGATACCAGATTTGCTGTAGCCTCGCCGGTGAAGCATGAGAGAGTTGAGTGCTCTTTCCGGAACCGGTCTCACCAATTACTACCACAACCGGATTCTGCTCAACCGTCTCTATGATTTTCTCTTCGTATTGGACTATCGGAAGGTTTGCCATTGACAAAGAAAACCGAAAGCTCCAACCTGACACAAATTCCACTCAAGCTTTGAGAGTGTAACTAGTTCAGGATTTGGAAATTGGGACTATAATCGCAGCATGTTGTCGCGGCCGCGGTTTTCTTACTCGGGCATTGAACTTTACTCCCTCCGTTCCTTAGAACTTGATGCTTATGCCATGTTCCTATAATAAAGACACTACAATTGTCTCTATTTTTGTGTTGATTTACTATTTTACCCATATTATTATTTCCAACTCACACTCTCTCTCCCTCCCACTTCTCTTTCTTTAATAATTTAATTGTTCTCTCTCGTGCTCTCTCTCCTTATTAATGAGGGCATTTTTGGAAAAAAATTATACTTTTTAACATTAATTGTTCTTAACTAACTTTAACTGTTTTTTTGATCAACGTACTTCGGTTATTTGTCTCTTATAATAAGGAACGGAGGGAGTAAATTACAGTGCAACTAATTGAACAATGTGAGTTAAAAATCAGTAATACTAGTTCTTAATATAAAAATTAGTTCACTAATTAAATAGATTAAAAAAAATAGTTTAGTTAGTTTTTTTATAATATTAATTAAGTTAGTTATTTGTAATAAATAAATATTGTAGTAGTATTTCTTAAAAATCCAGAACTGCTATTATTACAAAGATTATCTTTAAAAATATATATATATATAGAGACAAAATATATTAAAATCTTATATTTAGAATCAAAATAAAATTCAAACAAGTTCTTATATTAAAACCTGAAGTAATATTACTTAATTATTTAATTTTAGTAATATCATACTACCTTCGTTCTTAAATATAAAAAATACTTTACCAATTTGAGTATATTAAAAAAAATAAGTTAATTTAGTTATTTATAATAAATAGGTATTGTCTTTCTAAAATATACTTGTTAATCAAGTTTATGATTAGAACTACTATTATTAGAAGAATTATCTTTTAAGAAAATAATAAATATGATAGACAAAATGGATTGTGGTCCTATTTAGAATTAAAATAAAAATCAAACTAAATTTATATTAAGAAAGTAGTATATTTTTAAAATATTTAATTATATTATTAAACTACATATTAATATAAACGAAATAAATTAGTTTAAAAAAATATAAAATAAGTAAAGTAATTTAGTAAATAGGAGTGGAGGACCGGAGGTAGTACTCCTCCGATCCTTATTTAAGACCCAATTTGACTTTTTATTTGGTCCTAATTATAAGACCCAATCCATTTCTCTTTTTATTTAGTTTTTTTTTCCAAGATAACCTTCTAATAATGATAGTTTAGCCAATATACTTAATTAGCAAATATTTTAGGAATAACAACACTTATTTATTATAAATAACCAACTTAACTTACTTCCTTAATCTCCTCAAATAAGTCAATTGGGTCTTATAATTAGGACCGGAGGAGTATTATGTAAGGGCTTCTGCAATTAATATGGAAATTGGGACTATAATTGCAATATTTTCTCGCGGTCCGGGTTTCTTACTCGGGCATTGAACTTTAAATTATACCATCTGTACTAACTAATGAATAATGTGAAGAAATTAAAAATAACTAAATTATATATTAATTTATAAAGGAATAAATTAGTTTAAAAAAATATAAATAATGTAAAATAATTTAATAAATAGCACTGGAGGTAGTATTATATAAGGGCTTTTGTTTGAGGATTTTTCTTCTTTTTTTTTTTCATGGTTAGAAGGAAATTGAAGAGGGAGACACAAATTTTGTTGGGAGAATTACCATGGACTAAAAAAAAAAAATAATTCTAAAAAATTCTTAGTAACAAGTGAGAATTTGTTATTTTTTATCCTGAAATTTATCATTACAGACTGCTTGGAATTTTTAATAATTATATTTATTCCTTAAAACTTTATTACAATTCTCTCAATTTTGTTTGGCATGAGAGAAGGAAAGAAGAATGCCGTTTGTTGTTGTTATGACTTGTTACCCTTTTCTAATGTCTTTGTAATATCCCAACATTTCAAATGTTTTTGCATTGTCTAGAGTTAGAATATGGATGAACAGTTTCAAGATTATGGTTGGGTCTTGATGAGACTAGAGGCACCAACAAGACTACAACGACAAATGCTGGAAGCAACCCGAGAATCCATTATCATCTTGCTCACCTCTGTTTATTTCCTTCTTTTCAATGAGCTTCTTTAATGCCTTTCTATCTTTTGCACCAGTCGCCAATATCGACGTATTGGTAGATTTGATGACACTTTCAACTCCAATATCCTCCAAATTTGCCTTCTCGAACACCTCACTCCACTGAACAGAGCTTGCAATGGAAGTTGCAGAATCGCCATATGCATTTACTAAAATCATTTGAGCAGAAATCTCCAGATTTTGTCACAGAGTTGAAGTTACAATTAGCATTATTGATCTGACATCTAAGAGTGTTGCATAATCCAAGCTTTGCAGCCATGTGACTTGGAAGAACAAAGGTTTATTCATTTGTTTGAATTGCTGCTTCAGAATCTGCATTGGGATTTAGGAGTACAATAGTGAGGCGTATGAAGGAGACATTTGTTTGGAGAAAGAAACGCAGAGTCTGTATTGTCGTTTGCAAGGCCTCTTTTTGGCTATCAAAGAAGGAATTTGATGCGTGAACTGAGGAAGAGTTCATAAGAATCGCCATTTTTAAGAAGCTTTGAAGCCTCTGTGGCTTTCTCAGGGGAAAACCAGGAAGGCAGAGACAAAGGAAAGCTTGTTTTATAGTACAAAGCTACATATCAGGCATTTACTAAATAGATTGATTATTATTATTCAACAATGTGCATTTTTATTTTTATTTTTCCATTTATGAAACTTGTTCTGTTTCTCCCTCTTTGATTTTAATTTCAGCCGTCATTAATGTGCCACTCTGAGGTGTTGATATTGTACAAAATGAAGCAATTATTTGTACTTGAAAGTAAGAGGCATATGATATATGAGGGCTCATGAACTCATGATCATACAGAATAAGGATAAACAAAATTTTGTTTATCCATAATATCCATCAATATCAGTAAAGTGTTGCCTCTTACGAGGAACTTCCTTCTCTGCTCATTTCATCACCTACAAACAGTTGTGATGGATGAGAAACAAATGAAATGAGAGCGTAATATCAATATATATATAGAACCCTCTGATGATCATAAATAGAGAGCATAATAATAAGGGAATTATTATCCCTTAAAGGCTCATTTGGTATGAAAGAACGGAGGGAGAGAAGGAGGAGTAATTCAATTTAGAAAATTAAAAAAGTGAGTTTAAAAGATTTTAATTAATTCTTATACTCTTTTATATTACATTTCTCTTATTAAAATTTTAAAACCCCCTTCTTTAATTTTATAAATGAAGCTATAATATAAAAAAAAATTCCTCCTCCCCTCCCTCCCCTCCTCTTCATTTTTTCGTAACAAACAAATCCCAAGAGTTGAAGTGATTATCATTGTCACTTTTGATATAGGACTCATTGCTTGATGAATGGTAGAAGAAATTGATTTCATTACTCAGGCATAAAATAAAAAAACTACATATCACATCAGACATAGAATTCATTGACCAAATGTTGAAAGAAATTGAAATTACTCCCTTCAATCCTAAATATAGGAGCTATAAAACTATTTTATTTATTATATTAGTTGAGTTAGTTACTTAGAAAAATGTGTTATTATTTTTCTTAAAGTACTCCCTTTGATCAATTACACAGGAAATTACTTCTACTGAAGAGAACTCTTCTTATATATGCAATCATTCAAAACAAAATTATAAATTTGAAAGATAAAAGTATATTAAAGTTTTACATTTAAGATCAAATCAAAACTGTCAACTAACTCTTACATTTAGAATTAAAAAAAAAGCAATGAAATTAAACTAATCATAAATTAGATTAGAACCAATTTGCTTGATAGCTAGATACAAATTGATAGAAACAGAGAAGAGAATTTGAAGTGAGAGTGCATGTTAAAGAGAGAGTGATGTAGAATCCTACCAATATAGATGTTGTAAAGTTAATCCTTATAGAAGAAGATGTTAGTTTAGGAGTGAGAGAAGGAAGAAGAAGGAGGAGGAGTCTTGAGTACATCATAGTGACCATAGCCATGATACATCAGTTGGATTGGGCTCTCCTTCCCATACTCTTGCCCATATTCTGCTATTACCTTCACCCCTCCATTTTTCTTGTCTTGCATCACCACTCTTATTGGCATCCTACACATTTCATTACACACATACACCTTATTAACTATGCTTCCAAAATACCAAGTTTTGAACAAAATAGAACAGTAAGATTTTCATAAGAGATCTTCCAAATCCTTATCCTTAGAATTATAACATAAAAGCTAGCCCAGAAAATCAGAGAGAGAGAGAGAGGCTTTGGAAAGGTAAAGTGATTTTTACTGTAAAACATGAGAGGACATGAGAAGTTCAGGCTCTCCTCCCCATATGTGAGGCTTTCTCATTTGCCCTGTGTAGGTTTCAAAGTCACCCTCTAGAAACCTGTATAATATATAAGCATTACAAAGTCGTCGTCCAATGGAAGCGAAAAAAAAACAAAGAAAGAAGATATAGTAATTATTTATAAACAGGTTTGATTATTTCTTTATTGACATTTTTCTCTAAAAAGATAATTTTTTTTTTAAAAAAAAGTTATGAATCATAAATACCACTCAGTGTCAGCTCTCCTCTTGATGAATTCATCCACTACCTGAAATACAAACATTAATTTAATGTTTCTCCCGTGAGACAGATAGGTTACACTATGCATGTAGCTTTAGAAGGAAGCAGAACACTAGCTAATGAGAGATCTCATGTGTATGTTGGAGATATATATATATATATATATATATATATTCTAAGATTAAAAGCTTAAAGTATTCTTCAACAAAAGGTCAAAAAGTAAAAAATGTACATCTTACTGTACTTGTTTCTGAGATCATCAGCGAGTTGTTTTTGCTTGGATTGACTTGGAGATGGGTCTCCAGATCTGAGACAGGCTCCGTACACAACTGATCTAAACAGACACCTTCCATCTCCAGGTACTCCTGCTCTATACAAATCCTTCCAATTCAATTTCACTTCTACTACTAATAATAATAATAATCGCTATATTCGTAATTAAATTCAGTTAAATAAATATAGCACTAGTAAACTGCAGGAAAGTAAAAGGATATAAAAGTAGTAAAAGCGAAACGTACGAATCACAGAAAGGCGAGAAGGGTCGTCGTTGACAGGATGCGATGATTTTTCTGGTTTTGACATGATAGAGAAAGAGGAAATGAGGAACATTAATTTGCAGAAACAAAGTTTGATAAATGCCATAGAGAGAACAAAACAAGAACAAAGAGAGGATGATAAGGAAGAGAGAATCACCAGGTTGGAGATGTCTCTTTTGGGGTTTGAGGTGAAGTTGATGGCTAATTCCTGCTAGCTTCATTTTGCTGGGGAGGATCGAATCCGATGCCATACATACATATATATATATATATAGTGCTTTCTTTATTCTTTAGTTTGTGGGTTTGTGTGTGTGGTTCAACTCTATCATACAGTCATAATTTCTTTGGGAGGGAATGGGTGATGCCTTGCCACGCCACAAGAAACTGATAAATCAGGCAAAAGGTTTTACTCCCTCTTGGGGTGTTATCTTTTCCCCTTTTTTTGGGTTGTCTGTCTGAAAGTCAATATTACTGTATAATGTTCAAATTTAAATCCCATGCATTTTATGAATAATATATGATTATATATATAATTGATGTGTATTGTATGAGATAAAATAACTAATTTATGAAAATAAGTTAAGTTGGTTATTTAGAAAAATATGTTTTAATTTTCCTTAAACAATCACTTTAATAAGAGCTGCTCCTTTTTTTAACTAATAAGATTAGTCAATTAAATAAATATCATAAAAAATTAAATTTTGAATTCTTATAGTTTTGACTCAATTGTAATTCATTCTAACTTGATACTACCTCCGGTCCTTAATATAAGACACTGTTTGACTTTTATTTTGATCTTAAATATAAGACCCCGATCTATTTTGTCTCTCATATTTATCTATTTTTTTTTTAAGATAATCCTTCTAATAATAATAGTTCTAATCAATACACTTGATTAGTAAGAATATTTTTTAAAAAATAATACATATTTGTTATAAAAAAACTAACTTAACTTGTTTCCTTAGTTTATTCAAATTAGTCAACTAACTCTTATATTTAGGACGGGAAGTAGTATAACTTAATGCATATAATTTTGACTTAATTATAACTTAATTGCTAAGTCAAAGTTTTAGAGACCAATAACAAGTCAAAATTATAAGAATTGAATTACATGAATTAAATATTACGAACAAAATCACAAATGAGTCCAATTCACAGGCGTTAGGAGATCAATTTCTTTTTGGCCAAAAAAAAAAAAGGAGATCAATTTCTCCAAAATATTAATATAACTCGGGTGCCTAAAATATTTTTGGGGCACGATCCTGCAATTCATGGTGATGTCATGAGATGAAAGGCAATGCATTACAGTTCATTTGTCGCTATGAACCCATTACGCAAAATGTTTCCATGAACTATTCTCGTAACACTGTCTATCGTAGGGCCATCCAATTCTTGAATTTTAGAAAGGCCCTTCTTTAGCTTTTACATTCCCAAAAAAAGATCAGAAATCTTTGAGTTGTCGGAAGGGTAAGGTTTGCCGCAGAATCTTGGTTTCAAGCAATTTGGCCTTCTTATGCTTCAATCTTTCCATTACATCACCCACCAATTCATAGATATCAGTATAATCTATAAGAACTGAAATATTCTGGTAATTCATAGATATTCTATTCTCGTTTCATTCTTACCAAGTTGGCGTACTCTGCTTCAATCTTCCAAAATGTCATCAGCCAATGTTTCTTTGCAAGTGAGTTCTCTATTTCAATGGAAATTCTGTAATATATGAAGAAGAACGGATCATTTATAAACAATTCATATTGGACTTGATAGATGTCACGAGCATTCAATACAATGCAACAGTTCAGATGATATATGAACACTAGGATGTTCTTCTCTTTTGATTTGGATTTTGATTTTTCAGCAGAAAGCCGTAACCAGAAGCACGAAAACTGGAAATCGACTCTTACATGCCTCTGGAGTTTCGATCTTAGCAATGGCTGACATTGCCTACAGAAAAACCCTAGAATTTGATGGACCATTAGGTTCAGCCTGGAGAAGCATCGTAAATCTTGCAGAGCCTGCAAATCCTATCATCCACGCTGTTCAATGTCAATGGTTAACGATCCTGTCCTTTCTGGATGATCAATTTGTAGTAGTTCAAAAGATAATCGAGGACATTGTTTCCGCCTTCATCGCATTTGTTCGTCAAGAATGACGATCTTGTGCTTGTGATAATGTCCCTGCCAGAAAAATTCGATGATGCTCTGAACAAAATTCCTGAAATTATCCACCAATTCCCGGCTCTGGAGTGCACATTGCTCTATCTAATCTCGTGGTTGAATTGTTTGGTTTCTATATCGATCCCTTGTGGATTGGATTACTCAGAGAGAACCGACAACGATGAGAGTAATCATGAGGGAATTAGGTTTTTTTCTGTATTAGAATCATCACCAGAGCCTTCTGAAGCTGCAAGCAAAAGGGACGCCATGGAAGCTTCAACCCAGAAAAGAGGCTCATACAAGGAAGCATTAATGAAAGATGAGGATGAGGGTGTGAACGGTGGTGTCCAGAAGATAGGCTCATACAAGGAAGCATTGATGAAAGATGAGGATGAAGGAAGGATGAAGAAAGAAGATCAAATTCTGGGATTGTTTGAATCTGGATGGACTCTATGAAGCATGAAACATGTTATTTGAAAAGAAAATTGGACGGATTCTGTTCGTGGTGATTGATGATGATAATACGAACAAGAAAATGCGGCCTCATTGTCTGTGGGTTTTGGCCGTTATGGTTCTTAGGTTCCATGTACAGACTAATGGCACTGCTACTAACAATTCATGTTAATTATTAGGGCAACCATATTATTCAATTTTTATTTTTTTTATTGTTCAAGTGTTTTGAATGAATAGCTTTATCTTGTATTTCTGTTCTGTACATTGTAGACGCTTAACTAGAATCAAATACTCCGAGTTCTATGAGAATTATGACAATAATTTTTTTCCTTTTTAAGAGATTCATTTGTTATGCTTGTTATCTCTGGCGCCTTGATTTGCTTAAAGACACAAGAAATATATACGCACACAAAAGAAGCCGATTGATTACTACCCTAGTATGACACCATGCCATCATGTCCTTTCTTTTTTTTTCTTTTTTTGATACACTAGAAAATAAAGCACGTCTACTGTTATCTAGTGCATGCCATTATCTCCTATAACGAGGGAAGATTATGGATCCAAATTTTCCAGTATGCATAATAGAATTTTTTTTCATTTATAATCATTGAAAAATAAAGTTATCATTTAATTTTAAAATTCACTACTACCTTTTAAGCAAAATATTGTTCCATCGCGATCAATAATTCAAATTGTTGGCAAAGAAATAAAAGGTCTCATATATGGCAATTTCTTATTATCATCACTCCCACAAATTACACACACGGACACACTGGTTGAAATTGGTATTGATTTGATAATACTCCTCATGTTCTTAATATAAGACCCATTTAACTAATTTGATTGGATTAAGAAAGTTAGGTAAGTTAGTTAATTATAAGAAATATAACACATTTTTCCTAAAATACCATAATTATCTTTCTTAATACCCAATCTTCCTCTTCTACTTGATTATGGTTGAGGGAGTATCCATAAGGGTAATTTAGAGAAAACTGATAAATATGAGAAATAGATCTTATATTTAGAATCAAAATCAGCTCAATAATTAGGTCTTATATTAAGGACCGGAAGAGTAATTAGCTTTTGGAAACCAGCTAAGGATCTTGGTAGGCCAAGAGTCTCCCGCACAAAAGTTCTTGTTAGGCTTCTTCATAGGAGAGGATTCGCATGCATTCAAAAATCAAAACTCGTTATTTTCACATCTGACTTTTTTTTCAAATTGAAATAATAGACACTAAACAAACAAGCAGAACCAAACCCACAACCTTCCACTTGCGCACGAGCATAAGGCCTTTGATCACATATGACCGTTTGCTGGGTGACCTTCCCATGATTTGCCTTAAATATGTTTACAAGCCAAAACTAATGATGCAAGGCGTATCTCCATTACTTTTTACTCATTGATCTTATCCTTTTGAGGGAAAGGTATTTGAGAATCAAAATATAAAAGTAAATCAGTTGGTTCAAAATCGAAGCAACTTTGCGAATAGGCAAATGCTTTAACTCCAGCCTCAACTACTCTTCACAAATATGGGCTTGGATATTTCTACGAGTCAACTTCAGAAGAATTCGACGCAAGCATTACTGCATTAAGACGAAATACCGATCATGACGGCACCACGCGCAATACGAGGCGAGTAACATGGACCGAAGATGACGCCCACACGTCGTAATTAATTTGCGGGAGGAAAATGACATGGCCACGCACGCTTGGACCGCCTCCCTCCAAACCTGGCCGTCCAAGTTACTAAATCCTATCGCGCTTGACAACTCCTTACGCGACACACCATTCACAATCACAAACTACCTCTCCATTTTTGAATCTATCACTTTTTAATATTACAATGAACAGAGGAACAGAAGAAAACAAAATCCATAAATTACACAGGACTGTACATCTCTTCTTCGCTAGGAAGACCCCAAAAAAGGAAGGAAAAGTAAAGAAAAAAAGGCACTAGTGGCGTGGGATCAGCGCAGGGAAGAAAACTAGAGATACAAGCAGAAATTTACAACACAAGGATCCTAACACTGGTAAACAGAATAGCTCTTGGTTTTCCATAAAAAGCTAAGCGCCCTCCCCATTTTTCTCCTAGACATTGACTTACACAACGGTTTTGCTTCGGGAGGCGGCATCTCTATGTCATCAGTTTCTGGCGGAAACTGGTGTGTCTTGGGAGGTGAATTGTCTCGCTGTCGCTGCTCCCTGAACAGCATCAAGAGTTTCTGAGCTTTCTCTCTTCCTCTTGAGGAACCATTCACTGATAATGAAACCAATGCAGGTATTACACCTTCTTGCAGGACCATCTGGCTACATATTTCATTCCTGTTACATAGAATTAATAGACAAGATAGAGCTTGCTCTTGCTCAACGAGCTCACCCGTGTCCAGTATGGTAGCCAATGCGCCTATGAGCCCCGGAGATGATATCATTTCCTCCCTTCCCAACTGAGAATGAGCCAAATTGATCAAAATAGCTATGCATTTTTCCGTCCCCACACTATCACCCTGGCCTGCAAGGAGGGATTGAAGGCCATTGATGATGCCTGATGAAAGGAGGTTTGGAATATTGGAGGGTACAGTAGATAGATTATACAATGCATGAAGGGAATCTTGCTTGCACAGGACTTCAATGTCAGGCTGACACAGAAGCTGGATGAGGAACTGAACAGCTTGACTCATGCCAATCATACGCTTGGCTTCTTCAAGGCAAGAGAGATTCAGATAGAGGGCCGTTGCACAGCCACAGGAGGAGGAATTAGAGATCATTTCCTCTAGCAATGATAATAGTCCTGCCGCTAACATGATCTGCTTATTCCTGTTGGACAGAAACAGGATTAAGTCTATATTGACGATAAGCCAATACCTTTTTAAGTTATAAACAATAACTTTATTGTGAAATATCTAAACCAAAAACTAATGCTGAAAAATAACATAAGTAAAACTTGAGCCATGTTTATAACCATATCATTGTCAACATTGACCATGAATGATCAGTTTTCAACACCAATTTACTTTATGCATGTCATCTCTTTACTTCTTCTCCTGTTTATTTATTGAGGAAGAAAGGGGCATCGCTCCATTCTAGAACTACCACACCAGACAAGCCCCATGATGTGCTGTTCATCTTCACCATCAAGTAGAGCAGCACTCCCATTACAAGATGAAATGCAGGAGGCAAATCAACAAAATGAGCAGATATAATGCACTTGAAACAAGTTATTCACAAGTTGACCGTGGTCTAGAATTTTACATAAAAAGAGCCCCATGAAAAATAATAATTGGCCGAAAGACGAGCAGATCAATATGATAATGAAAATATCTTAGATCTACTAGTGGTTTGATTCTGTAATCACATGAAAAGCAGTTCTACGCAATAATTTAAAACTGTCAAGATTGAAAAAGCAATGCCCACCTGTTGTTATTTACAGCAAGGTTAAAGAGGGCCATTGCTCCACTTTCTTGAGCTGTCACATTCCCTTCAGACACTGCTGATTGCAGAAACTGCAGAAGTGCTTCAACAAACCCATTTGCCCCCATAAAAATCCTGGCTTCTTCATCATCCCTCAGCAAAAGCCTTAACCTTTCAACCACCTTACATTTCCTTTTCCAACTGTTCCCTTCAGTCAAGACTTTCAGAAAACCAAGATACTGCTCAGTATCTTCCTCTTGTGCAGACAAAATTTCAGTTCCATTTTCTCCAGCTTCCTGTGAGACCCCCGTCTCTTCTAAAGGAACCACTTTGACACCCTTCAATTTGCAAGAGTTGACACTGTTCACAGATCTCGAATTTGTTGATTCAGACTCAGATAATGCTAATCTCCAGTAGTTAAAATCTAGAGATTCTGGAGGGCCATCAGGAATAGGAACTCCATTTTGTTCACACCAACTAGAAACAAGACCCTTAACACAGTAATTAGGGGTCAATGATACATGTGCAAGTTTCTGTTGAGTCTTTGGGCAGGTGTTGTGCCCATCGCACAACCATTTCTCTATGCAAACCCTCTCATAAGTTTGCCCAGAAGCAATTATAACAGGATCATACATGAGTTGCAGAGATATCGGACACCTTAACTCCTCTGGTGGAAGGGGCATTTGCCCTGATTTTCTATTATTTGGCTTAAAATTAAAAGAACTAAGTTTTGAGAGCTGTCGGTCAAAGGCTTGGGAATGACCACCAGCAACACATTCTTCCGTGGAGCCCATAACAGTGGGAGAACAAGGAGTAGAACCCTGAGAATCATTATCGTCAGAAAACTCACTTCTAAATAACTTAGAGTATTTCCTCATGAGGTGTAAAAGATATGCGACAATTGATTCCTTTCGCTTGTCATCTTCAGCCCGAGCTCTTTCAATATGTTTCTTGAGAGCTCTTCTTTCAGTAAGAGCTGCTCTAGAAGATGTGATTCCTAGTCTAGTAGCAGCCTGGTGAAAACATTCAAGCTCACTACTATCAGTAGAGTCGTTAAACTTTCTCCCCTGCTGGAGCAAAGCAATTAAATTATCACCAATTTGCTTCTCCATTGGGTCAAGTGCCAATTCCATACTTTCAAGTTCACTCACAATCTCTTGAATCTGCACAGACACCATCCATGGAAAATATCTTAATATTAGTTCACACTGACTATTTAAAGTAACAAGGAAATGGCAACATGTATGCATAATCAATCCAAGGATCTAAAAGAGCCCCCATTCACTCATATGTTTAAAAAAGCAATCATGAGGCCTTGTAATAATATCCACAGAAGTACTGCAGCAGGATCATAAACCGCAAAAGCAAAGAGCATTTTACACATGAAACACATGACATATAACCAACGTCGGAGTCCATTACCTGACATCCAATAGATTGTGGGACGATATCTTCCACCCTTTTAAGACTATTTTCAAGAGCACATTTAGCTCTCTCAAATTTTAGAACAACAGAATCCCCAGTTATAGCCTGCAATTCATGTAAATCCACAGGCTAAGGTAAACTTAAATTCACTTTACTTGCTGCCAGACAAAAAGAACAAGAAAAACTGTTACAGAAAAAAATCATACCAAATAAAGCTTACTACACTCGGAACAATGTTGAAGAACATTCTTGGCCTTCTCTAACGCCACATGCAATGAACATAGTGCCTGGATCCCAGATTTGCTCCTGGGCCTAGCTGCTTCCAAAGATGGAAATATTGACAATACTTTGCAATATGTTGCTGAAAGAGCCTTGCACAATTCTCCATGTAACTGCATAAGTAACCGGATAATTATTAATTAATTAAATAATATTATAGAGAACGCACAAACAAACTTGCCCAACAAAGGGAAACAATGAGCCAGAAAAAGCAAGAAGAATACAAAATCTCTTTAAGAGAAATAGTAGTCTTAAACATACACAAATAAATAATTAGACATTGCATATCTCACTGCATAGCTTATTGAATGGAACAGACAAAGAAAATGTTCATACGGAGATTTGAGTCCTCGTATGTTGGGGCCAGGGCTGGCATAGTCTTAAAGTGATCTCCATTCCCCGACTTAATATAATTGAAGTATCAGAATTTCGAAAGCAACATATATTCAAAATACATGGCCATACCTTTGCATCACTTGCTGCGAACATATTTTCTTCAACCTCCGCAATATCCATCGTTCACTTTCAGTGTTGATATTTAGGGCCTAAATGATCTCAACTGCATTAAATGGCATAAAAAATGGGAAAGGAAGAAGTTAGCTAAGGGAGAAAATTGTGTGTTATGTCATGTGTGCGATTATAAACAGAAAAGCTCATAGAGCCGCTGTCACTAAACTTGTGTAATTATTTACACCTAGCATTACTATGCAGAAAAATTTTTAATTGCGTTGAATATATAAAGCATCATTTCGGTTCTTTAACAGGTTCACACCAATGGAGGAAAAATATGCATATTTTCATCTTGTTTTACGTGAACGATTGAAAATTGTATCTTATATATGATTATTTGAAGTAAACAGAAACAACAAAGCCGGATCATTTAAAGTCAATCCAGCAGGACATAAGGTATTTCAAGCCCCTAATTATTAATTAAGACATAAGAAATTAAGAATCTCCTGTAAGCATTTTTTTCACAAACCTAACAGACAAGAAGTAAGGAAAAATTGCAAGAAAGAATAGTATGTCCAGTTTGTATGCGTAATTAAAAAGGGGAGGAATAAGGTGAAAGAGGAAGATTTTATTACACGACAATCTTAAAAAAAAAAAAAAGATAAAGATATTAGTCCAGAAATGGCAACACATAAGAGACTTCATGACTAGAGAAAAGTTTGACAAACCAATTCAGAGAGTTCACTACTCCATGGAAAGCAAGATATTGATCAAATAAACGATAAGAAAGAGCAATTTAGTCGACACTTGTTCAACAACTCCAAAAGGAAAAAAAATTAAATGATTCAAATAAAATACATCTTCAACAGACTTATAATGAGTTCCAAACTGAGACCTTCACTCAATAGCACAAAGAGACCACTAATCACAGCAAAAACATTAGCTAACTATGTAATCTGATTCAGGAACAAAGACAAGAAAAGCCCAAACAGGACAATGAAATGATGAACGGAAAGAGGTGAGGAGAACCATTGAACAGAGGAAAACCATATGAAGTGAAGTAGAGGAGCAGAAGAACAGTTTCAGAGACAGGATTAGGGTTTAGAAGCGAAGACGTACCAACAAAAAATGCAATCAGCCAAGGAGGTTTCATAAAAATGACAGTTTCTAAAACCACAGTATTAGGATTTGAAAGATCTGTGACTATCGCAAAGCACTAGCAATCCGAATAGTGATGTTCATTTCGAATCGGGGAGCGAATTTATCGGAGCTCCCACGCGCAGACAGAAGAGAGAAGGAGAAGAGGAGAAATGGGAGGGAGATGGTGGTTTTGGTTATTATTCACTTGATATTTCCCTGGATGGGAAGAGAAATGTAGGAAGGGAAAAATAATTAATAATTAAATTTAAAAAAGATTTATTTCATTTAAACAAATGACTCGAGAATGAAGGTGCTTTCTTTTTTTGTTTTTCGAGGTTTTTTACTGGAGATGAAGTTCAAAGTGCTGGTGGGTTTTGAACTGGCTAATTTAAGGGAACGAATAATTGCTACATTTTTTATAAAAAAAAAAATTGAAAGAGAAAGTTAGAATTTTCGCCGCTTTTTTCTCTCCGCTTCCCCGGCCGACAGTTGCCGACCTCCTCGTTTGTCGCTTAGCAGACCTGTCATGTGTATTTCCGATTGACAACTTTGTCCTCGCCAATTATCTTTTCTAAAAATCAAATTTTTGGTTAAATGTATTTTGCCTGAATTTCTTATGTCAACCCTACTTGCATTTTATTTATATTATCATTTTATGCTAGATTCATGTTAGTACTACCTCCGATTCTTAATATAAAATCTTATTTAATTTTTATTTTAATTCTAAATATAAAATTCTAATTCATTTTGTCTTTCATATTTATGTAATTTTTTTCAAGATAATCTTTCTAGTAATTATAGTTTTAGCCGACACACTTGATCAGCAAGGATATTTTAAGAAAGACAACACCAATTTATTATAAATAACTAAATTAACTTATTTTTTTAATTTTCTCAAATTAGTTAACTAGCTCTTATAATTAGAATTGGAGGTACTATCTTATACTACATCCTCTCTTTAATATAAGATTTAATTAACTAATTTAAAAAAATTAAAAATTTATTAAATTATTTTAAAATATTTATATTTATCATTTTTAAATATAATTAATGATATATTGGTGCATTAATATTTTAAAGAGATTATATAAACTCTGCTATAATTAAATAATTTAGTAAGTTTTTTGAATTTCTTACATTAGCCCACTCTGTTTTATACCAAGACTGGACGTAGTGTCCACTATTTTTCATATCAGATTAATAATTGTTTAGCCCAATTAAAAAAATCTCTTTTAAGAAAGATTAGCTCCGCTCCGCTCCTACGTATCATTATCTCATTTGCTGGGCATGGCAACCAATGAAAATATGTTGTTATAAAAAATTAATTTATTTTTTTGGAAAAAATGTATTAATTTAAACAAATTTATGTAAGAAATTGAAAAATTAATACTACGCAAAACATTAAATAAAAATAATAGCTATAAATAGCAATAACTAAAAGCACAAAGTTTAACACAGATTTTATGATGACTTCAAAGAGAAGTAGTAATGTTTATAGTTTTGAAGAATAATTCTTTTTTGGAATTTTATATATAGATTCACGTTAATTATTAACTGTAATAACTAATAACTACCCCCCTTACCTAATACTCGCTGCATTGAAATATTTAAAGCTATGAAAAACAAATATACACAGTAAGAGAAAAAATATCAAAGTTATTGCTTGGTTTATTTTTTAGTACAATCATAAAAACAATAATTTATCTGGTTTTTTTTTTTTGGAAAAAAGAGGTCAGAAGCATTTTCATTTGACAATATTTAACAAAAATAAACATGCGAATTAGTTGCGAAAGTTAATGATTGAATTGAAGTAACAGAATAAATATTGCGAAAAAAAATTAAAAAAAAATATACATAACATTGAAAAAAAAATTTAGGGGAAAAAATTAACTTGATGTAAAGTTAAAAAGTAAAATCGAAAGGAAGTAATAAAGAGAGCAATGTGAGCTCTTGTCCGTTAAATAAGCATATTGAAGATTCAATTCATAACTCGTGTGAAGCAAACCTAATTAAGATGAATTTACTTTTTGCCTTCGGTACTTGGCAATGGCAAAGGATATTCATATTTCCCGGACGGAATTTAAGAACGTATTTCACACAGGCCAAGAAAAATCTTAAACTTTATTAACTTTCATTTAAAATTTAATAACTTTCCAACTTTATCCCTATTTAATATATATTATATCTCGTGTAAATAAAATCAATACAATAATAAATTATGGGTAAAATTATATATATATACAAAAAAAAATTTCTTAATACCCTATAAATATAACTAAAAATTATCTTCTCTCCCTACCCTGTAAATAGGAGCAGAGGAGTAGTTGCTAAAAGTATAAATTCAAAAACATTGAAGAATTTAAAAAGAAACGAAGTTTTTATTTCTTCTAAGGGGAAGAAAAAGTGCGTCATGTGGATCCTGCCCGACAACCATCCTCATTAATTATTGTCATCGGCATAATCTGTTGCCCTTAGCCACACAAAGGAAAATAACGTTAGAACAAGTGGAGTTGATCTGAGACTTCATTGGTGCGTTCATAAATACCCCTCTGACTCCTAAGTCGGACCATAAATGCATGTAAGGTTGTTCCTGTCTAAGATAAATTAATAAGGGTTAATACAAATTTTGTTTCTTTAATTTTATTTTTATTTTGGTTTTGGTCTCTCAAGTTTCAAACTATATATTTTGGTCTGTCAAATTTCTTTTTATTTAAAATATTAATCCTTATAATTCAATAAATACTTGGATCATTTTGCCCCTTTAAGAATCAAAACCTATTGTTTGAAATTTGAAAGAATAAAACCAAAAAGAGAACAAACTTGAGAGACCAAAAATTATATTAATCCAATTAATAATTACTCCTCTAATCTTATTTATAAGCGAGATAAAGAAGATTTTTTCAGACTTTTTGTCATAAGTTGTATTACTAAAATTTTTTTTTACGTGGCTTTTCATTTATTATTATATAAACTATTATTTTCTTAAAGAGTACACATTAAATTGGTGTAAGTTGAAAAATTATTACTCATCTAATCCTGTTGATAAGCTACTTCAAGCATATTTTTATCAAAATCAAGAAAAACATTAAATCTCATTAATTATATCTTAAAATTTAGTAACCTTTTAATTTTACTTGTAATTAATATATACACTTATGGGGGAAAAAGTAATCTCTACAATAATAAAATAAGGATAAAATATTCATGCTAAAAATTTAGCCAAGTGACTTGTAAATACAATAACAAAAATATTCTATTTTTCCCTTATAAATAAGCCCAAATGAGTCAATTTTAGCTGCTTTTAATCATTAACTTAACTTTTAAATTTTGAATAATATTACTAATAAATCACTTGATTCGTTTCTTGTTCAATCATTTGCCTTGTGTCGCGCATTGGAAGATGAATAAAGCAGGGTGAAAGCTTGAAGCGTGCACTGCTCTTGCTCGTCTAAGAAAAAAATTAGTTGGCGAGGGTCATTGGTTCCTTCGTAGAATTTTATTTTATTTTAACGATTGAGTAATAATCCTATGCATTAACAAAATACGTTTGTCTTTTCGCTTTTTAATTGCCACAAAACAGGCTTGTTAACTACTCCTCCGGTCCTAAATATAAAACCCTTATACTAGTGTGTATAAGGGTCTTACATTTAAGACCGGAGGAGTATTTTACAATTATTTCTTAATAAAAGACAATATATGCTCTATTTTGACCGCCGGGATTTATATTATGATGACAATTGCTGATTGCGCTAACGCAAGTCAGTTTTTAACGGTAATTTGCAATCAAATAAGAAATTATTTTAAAAAAGTTGAAATTCCACAAAAGTCCCAGAATTTCAAATCAATTATATATAACACCTCAATGTTTAATTAAAGTTAAACTTCTCAAGCCCACAAGTCGTTCCTTTCGCCATTAAGTAGTTAACAAAAATAGTTATGTCAGGGTAATAAGGATTAAATGGCATCGGTCCCCCCCCCCAAAAAAAAAGCATCTATATGAATTAAAAAATTTAGAGTATAATATACAAAGCCTCTTAAACTTTAAGCCACTTGCGTTGACATTTTAAAATTTAAATATAAATCCTTAAATTTTCATTTTTTGACATAAACTTGTCGTTAATTACTTTCTCTAGTCCTATTTATAAGCTTGTAATAATAATCAAAGGGTATTATTTTCTGATCTAATGTCTATCGAAATCAACTCATTACTTTTATATGATTGAATGATCCCCTCATCTTCTTCATATATTAAAATAGCTATATCAACAAAATATTAGTTGACATAGTAAGCGGTCTCACATTCGTAAAACGGAGAACGTAAGTTTGAATACCGGAAAGCATATTCGTTGAGAGAGTTTTAACTTTAACGCTCTCAACCCGATAAAGATTAATTTCAAACTTAAACTGGCTTAAGGATACTATGAATTATTATTATTATTTTTTAAAAAAAAGGCTATCATTGGTGTTTGGAAAGTCAATGTCTTCCCCTGTAATTTCAAGCATCGCATGGATGATTTATCATTAATTAATGTTTATATATGCGGGAATATTGGCTAATATACCTGCATGATTTATTGCGTGTAAGTGTATATGCACGACGTGCGTATAATGAACCAAGCATGCTTGCAGAGACATTTATTGACATTATTTTATTTTATTTAATTTGTTTACTGTCGCAGACACGAATGATTATTAGGTCAAAGCAATTATTTCTCGAGTTATACTAGGAAAATGTTTAATTATCTACAGTTAATTGTATATATGATATAAAAGTAATCATACACGGCTTAATTATAAAGTACAGATTGCCTAATTAACTTGCTCTACATTTAGGCAACACGAGAATACATAATAACGATGTCTTGTGTATTTTTTAATTAAAAGGGCCAAAGATTGATGGCGAAATATGAAACCACGAATCCAACCCGTAAACAGACACAGATTTTGGTCGGTATTTTTATAAATTTAAAATCTTTCTAAAGCACTGCTAACGAATGAGAAATTCAGAAATTGACTTTATTAATTATATTTATGCTAAAAAATAATATAATATTTAACATTACCTGATGGCCCAAATTTAAATACCATCATGTCCAGGTAGGCAACAGCGCTCATAACATTAAACTTTTCATTTACAAAGTTTACATCCTTAACTTTATGTAAAGATATTGAATATTTTTGTTGTTGAATAATATATGTTTTA